CATTTTTGCCATTTAATCTCACACCAGACCCAGTATGACGGTCACTTTGTGCCTGATGTGCGAGTCTTGACTGTGCTAGCGCACACTGCGCCTTGAAGAGCATTCACGATTGTTTGTCCTTTCTTTGGTTGTTGGTCCTTAGACGCGTGTTCCCATACCAAAATCTTTACATACTTTGGGATTCACCTCATCAGACTGGCACTGCCCTTGGCATGATCTCGAATGAGACGTTTCTCTCTTTTCTCCCATATTCTCCTGTTACTCTTTCGCATTCATCGCTTGCACTCACTTTTTATGTTTGTGACCATGCTCTTCAAAAGTAAATGATAATAAGGCGGAAGGAGAACCAATCAGTCAAATCAAGCTAACTCTCTGTTGGGTTTCGGCCGAGGGATTTTGGTGTGTTAGGGTGGGTGAACAAGTGTTGGGCCGATGGGGAAACCTACATGTGTTTTGGTCCGGTCTAGGGTCTGGTTCTTCTGGTTCGGTCCATTTGATGGTCCCTCTTGAATGTCGTTTGATATTTCTGTCCGTCTGTGTGGGTGAGCTGGTGCTAAGATAGTTGTGTAAGAGGGATGCTGTGACCTTTGGTCGGGTTGGGATTTCCGCTCCCCACCCCCCAGTTTTTGCTAATGATTCTAGGTGGAGCGCAAGGAAAGCAGTCTTGAATAAAGCGAGTTGACACGTGGCTATGTGGTTGTCAGCCAGCCTTTCTAATCACACGTCACTTTTTATGATTTCACCATTGTGAAAAATGACACGGACCTTGTGTTGCACACAAGCATGGTGTGATTATTTAATGTAAACTAAAGTGTAAGGTAATACCGCTCTCCAGGTTTGGATTAACGACAGGGACTCCGCTGGTTAAATGCGTGTCGGTTAGTTATCGTAAGGGTCGAAGAGCATTGGAGGGATCGAGTCATTCGTGTCCGACTGGTTCATGGCGGTTTGAATGCAAAGGGTTGAATGATAACGCAAGATAGGGCTGTGATGGAGTTGAGATAGCTTTTGGTTGACTAAATTAGGGGCCAAGCTAAAATGTGCAATCATACGATTTGTTCGAGCCTTTCGTACCGCGCGCCATTTAGTATACATCTATCTATCTTCACTGTATATGTGTTAATTCCCCCGGCTAGCCATCAGCCTGAGCTTCGTCAAAGTTCCGTTCGAATGACCAAAAAATGTTCATCTACTTTCCCCAGACGTACATCCATTTTTCAGAAACAATACGGCGACAAAAGCCATCATGTTTTTAGTGCTTATAGGTTTCACAGCATTCTAACAAACCAACCTTGCTTGAGTCCTTAGTCGATTGCTTTGTGACGCGTTAAGTGAACTTGATGATATGTGAGAAAGCGTGGATTGAGCGTAAAAATGCCGATTCCAATTCACTGAACCATGTAGAACTAGATACGCAACGTCGATGGGTCCCAAGTTAACCCGGCTCGGAGGAGCTAAGCATCTGTGCGCTCTGTGCAACATATGCATTGCCCCAGATTAGTAGGAAGAAGATCCAGTCACTACGGGACATTTCTGAGAGTCTCGCCAAAGCGTCTTCACAATATCTGAACTAACCAACGTCCGTCTCGTGTATGAACAAGGGGAACCGAGTAACAACTTGGGCTATTAATTCTATAAGTATATTCACATTCGGTGATCATCAATTTCAGACATGCCTGACTACCGAATTTGTACTCAGCCGGTTTGAAAGCAAAGAGTGAACGGACGGGTGAAGCGCCTGGCGACTTCACCCAGCACACTGCGCAAGGCCAATCAGTATGCCATGGCTATAATGAGCGCGATAAAATGTAAGCTGTACGTTTGGTCAACCGCCTAGTCTGTACACGTTGTCACTGAATTCCTCATGCCCTATTACGACCGAGGAGTTTTATCAAGCTTACCTGGTCACATCGGAATGTGCATAGTCCATTAAAATGTCCTCTTTATTCGCACTTTCTTGATAATACGCTTGTACATACTAAAACATATTTTTATAATAGGCAGCAGCACCACCAAAACACGCCTAGCTGAAAAACCGTCCATCAAGACCCGATTTGTTCCCGCTTGGATTGCCAACCGTTATGAATCAGTGGCATTCTAATTTGTAGTGACGGCTTGTTGTGAAATGCCACCACTGGTTAAATCACTCCAATTCTTTGGTTATAATGAAAACACCTTTGATCGTGACAAGGAAACAGGCAAAATAACAGGACATGGTCGTAGGCTAATTGTCCTGATCAAACCCTGAGTGCGCACCAGTTGGAATCTAATTCATCGCCACAGTCAAAGTAATAGTAATCCAAATGAGTGCCCAGTCGACTTGCTCCTGATTCAATAGGAGTTTGTGCACCATGGATCAAGGCTTCATGAATCTGGGCACTCCATAAACCCGATGATAGTGTGCGGGTTGATAGCGTTTGTTTTCACCAACGCTTACCAATCACCTCCATTCTAAAGTACTGTTTATAAGATTTTCCACTGGTCCCTGAAGTAAACGTCTATGAGCACAGTAGTAAGATGTCCGCACTAAGACGTGAGTGACTTAACAGTTTAAGAAAATACCAGGTCGCGTTCGTCTGGATGCGTCTGAATAACCATGGGAACCGCTATAAACGCATAGTGAGCAGTCGTGTGAAGGCTGGACGACATGTTTGGTTACATTCCTGGCGAGCTGGGCACGTGTCATGGTTAATGCAAGGCATTGCCTCCCTCCTAGCTGATGGGAATACAGGCCAAGAAGCCTGCGTCCAACTAGTTGCATTGCTGTCTAGAGTCACCTAGGCCAACAGGTGGAAATTCAAAATAGGTAGGGAATTTTTCAATTATTTTGCTAAAACACTGAATGATTTCCAACGGTGTGGTAGCTCTGACCAGTTTTACGAGAAGTTTTTGGAATAGGTCGAATAGTTTTGGCGGAACTTTGAAACAAGGCGCGACAAAAACCTGGAGAGCTCAGCTGAACCTGGCCACATTCGACAGTAGTTCAGTTCTTCCGTTTCAGACGGGCTGAATTACAATACGTGATAACACCAAAACCCAACGTCCTCACATTCTTGGTACTGGAAGAAATACGACAAGAACTCGCAAACAAAACTTTGCCAAAACCACTGAAGCTTAAGCTTAGAGAACAAAACTTCTGTTCACCGAATTGTATTTCCGCCTTGACTCACGATATTTCTTTGCATACCTCTGGCAAAATAAAGGATTTGGACTTTTCTGTATCCGCAACAATGTCTAGCTAGTTGATGAATCACGATGCTTGCCGACTGGGCTTCTCAAACCACGCTACCAACTATATGCACCAACCAACGAAGTTGAGTAAGAAGTAAGGATAAGAGATGAATTGTCAGACGAGATGAAACTTGGTGTTGCCAAAATAAACCGTGAGCGAGGTCACAGGTAAAAGAACTATTTTGGTGGAGTGCTACACCGAGAGTAAAATGTTGCTTATGCAAAGGTAGCTGCCGGACATGCTTTTTTACCGAGTACTCAAGTTTAGTCATAAAGAATATCTGCCAACGTGGGTCCCAAAAGACTAACCATGGTGATGGCATCAATTTCGTTTTAACTAGTACCTCGAAAGTATTGTCTGACACTTTTCATGTACTTTTTTAAATTTAGATCTTTAAGAACTGGTGCGGCTAGTTTACCCAGACCGGAGCGAATATCTGGGTAATCACATGAAAAAATTCAGTTTCTCTGAAGGAGACATTGGTAGAATGTGACTGTTTATCAAAAGAAGGCTTGACCCTGAGAATTATCAAGGTTCTCAGGGTAGGCTAAAAGCTTATAAACATTTTTCGAGCAGTGGCCAACTAACAATAAGGCAGACTGTTTATTGCTGAAATGGGGCGAATATTTACATGGGGTCTCTGAGATTTCTGAAGTTCGTAAAGTTGAAGCATATGACAACCGGAAGGTTTAATTCCATTGAATTCAGCGAAAGCACTCATTTGCGAACAAATTTGGTTTGATTTCAACGTCCTTATTTTTACCGGAAAATGTATTACTGGTGTACAGATTCTGGTGGTCACTCTTAGATTTCCCTGGTTTTATTAATCCGTCACGTTACCTTTCAGTTCCATAGAAGCGATGCATCTAACCATGCATTTTACTCCATGCTCTTCCGTCTTGCACGTATTGCGACAGACGAGGTTGTGCGAAATTAATTGATCCTGCGACCTTGTTCTTACGCATGACGTGCCTGTAAATTAGGGTGGTTATTTAAATTTGCCGCTTATTGTATTCGTCACACCACTCATCTGGTGAGATGCGGTGAAGTGTATTTGATTCAGCGAGCCTAGCGGCATTCGGAGGAAGTGACGAGCATATGATAGATGAGCTGGTGATCTAGACTAAGTTGCACTGCGGAGAGACTTCCGGTGGTCATTTTTGCACAGTCATACGGAGTGTGGAAACGATCGAGGGCAAATCAAATCACTGCTTGGTGGTCATTACCAGCGACCTCAGTTGTGCTGACCGCTGTCGTCTTTCTGGGCGGGAAGTCCTTAGACGGATAACATTCGTGAGCAGAAATATTGACGGACATGGTCCAGTCACGCGATCCCTCAATCTCTACACTGATAAAAAGCACAGGAACCAATTCAGTCACTCCCTCAATACTAAACACCCACTGTTACTTGTCAGATCAGCGGTGAACTAAATTGTGGCAGCTAGAACCTGTAAATGCGATAATGCTATGTGCTCCCCTCAGATCTGGTTTAAGAGAGTCTGTCTCTTTACCAGCGATTGATTGGGCGAACGAGAGAACTGGGAATGGCTTATCCATTAAAATTAAACAACAAACCAACAAACCCACGCAACGTACATACGATTAGTAACCCAGGTTAAGCACGGGATTTAATTATCTTCTCGTGGGTCCGGCATACTACCCAATGTAACAGCAAGAACGAGGTGGTGGTAACTAGAGACAGTGGCAGACAAACATTATACTTCTTCCCACAACTTTTGCTTTTGCGTACTAGCTTGTACCGTTATAGGCCCCGCTGATACAACTTAAACTCGCTCGTATAGGTCTGAAGCGGAGGCTACAAACCAGAGTGAATATGACCTGCACTCTGACTGGCTCGTCTGCTAGTCAGCTAGCCAACAAAATGAAGACTGCACCCAGCGCCGAAATTGCCTTTTCATTTAGATGGAATTCTCCAACACCAACCGCAGAATACTACTCAAGGCGAACTGAGAGTTGTCAACATACTCACCGGTAAACCAAGTATTCCGGAGTGCACACTTCACGAAGTACCTCCAAATCCGTGATCAGTCCATCGTGACATTGCAGTTTTTGCAGTGATTTGTCCGACACAGGGAGTGGAACCACATTGCCAAGTGCCATACCGAACTGAACAGCCACTGGATGTTCACTGAGTGCGTAGATGTCAGTCGACTGCCTCCAGGTCAACAACCATTCCCGATCATCTTTGCTCAACAAAGATATCACCTCCGATGAACGATCTTTAGAGGAATCAGATAGAGATGGATAGTCTGTGAACGTTAAGAAACTTCGAGGACGAAACGGTCTATTTATATTAAATAGTGACTGTGTATCAGTACAAACTATTCAGTGCTTACATCGGTAATAGGGGATGTGAACTAATTAAACCTATGGATAGTTTAGGGTCATACCTTCTGAAACGCATTCTTACCTGTGGGTGTGTAGAATTCGGAAGATGCAATGCTATAGTTTCCCCATCCGCAACAGTTACCAGCTGAAACACGCATGCGGTAACATAGGCCTGGCTGTAGATTCATAGCCAAAAACCGGCAGTCGACCGTGAACCCAAGCGTATGCCATGCAGCTGGACCATTGTTGGCTAATAATTAAAGGAGGCAAATGTATTTGGATAACAAATAATAAATCGGCGAAATCAAGCAACCACAAAAAATATAGCCTCAGTCACAACAAGTTATCTATCCGAGATCGGCAACTTGGTCAGAGCGTGAACATGCTGAACTTGAGCTGTCCCAAAGCTAGAAAACCGGATGGTATTGAACGTGTAACCTACCGGGAAAGGTCAAAGGTGCTTCGCAGATTCTGTGAACAAATATCAATGACTTTGAAGACCTGCTAAATGCCGAAGTAGCATAACCACCTGTGTCGTAGCACCGACATGAACCTTTCGATGCTTTTGTCGCACTCTGCCATCTACATGTATCGCAGCTATGATGCGCATAAATACTCATGGGATACTGCGGAATGAATGTATAAATCCTGACTTATACCTAATTTCAAAGATTTATCAATAAACCGCTAATCCCGACAGGTGTTGAATCCATTTCAGTAGACAGTCAATCCGATCCAGTTTTCGCCAGTCCAATGTTTGACAGGAATTACTGACAAATGCATAATTATACTTGTTCTGTCGATGACAAAAAACATCGTACAGTCCAGTGCAACTCACTAAACCACTGTATACAACTTCGGAGCCACGTTTTTTGGAACCGCGATACCGTCAAATTTTCGGGCTTCCTGTATAAATAAATGTCATTCATACCACGACTGGTCCAAAATTCCTAAAAGATAATGATGCTGAATTTCACAGAAATACTTGAACCGAGAGAAATGCCGATTCACTAACATTCATTTGTTGATACACTTTGACTGACCGAGGAACTTCATTGCTGATTAAAGGCTGATAAAATTCGAATGGGGGTTCTTGAACACATTGAAAATACAGGACTACGGTTTGACACAGAGATGTAAAATAAGGTTGTGTGCAAACGAACCTGCAAATTTCGCGTCAACACGATAGATGAGATCTCCACCGACATCTACATCTGATGGTGCCCACGTAATTAGGGCCTCCGTCGGATGAACCTCTGCCATGCCTGGACGACCTGGTGGTTTAGGAGGGTCTGGAATTCGCAGAAGTAAACAGCTAGAGTAAAATTGCTGTGAGGTCTGCACAACTTTATATAGAAAACCTCGAGCTTTTTAGTGTTGAAAGGAGCGAACAGGAGTAGAATTAACGACCAGAAAGCGGTCTCTGTAGAAGATCGCTCCATAGTGAGAAAACTACATATTAACATCATTTCAGTCGAACATAAAACAGCTGAGAAAACCATTGTTGACCAACTAACCTTAATCTTCAGCCGGATCTCTTATTTATGATATTTTTCAACTGCATATGATGCACATAGGCACTGCACCTGACTGATGAGTATCAAGAAGGGCGAAACCGATCCTGAGTTGTGGAAGAGCTTTCAACAACCTTATGATTAGCCTTCCATCGAGGCTGGTGAGTTGTTAGATGGTTTGAATTACCGGTCCATCTTCATCGGACGTGGTAAATGGTGACACCCGTCTCTTCACTCCCAAAAGCAACCACCTCGTTCCAGCTGGGAACGTCCATTGCTGTGTCATTCTATACGTTCAGTTCCTATTTTTTGTGAAAAAACTGCATCAATAGCTTTTGACAAGTACCCTCATATGGCTTTGACAGGAGGCTCAACTGAATCCAGATGAATCTCTCATCTATGATGGTCCGCTTGAGAAGTGTGTTACTTCTAAAAAATATTGTATCCATAGATGTTATATTGAAATATGCAGAGGGCAGAAAGACACGTTTGATTATGCCCGTTATCTTATAGAGACTGACTGAAAATACAACAGCATGAAGTTTTGTTAAACAGGCTATGCGTACCAGATAATTTTAAGTTATGCACATGAAATGGCCGTCCCGAAGGATATTGGATGAGTAAAGATACGCCCGAATCGTATTCAGTTACTTACCTGCTATCAAGAGTCTAGCTTGGGTTTTCGCCTTACCGGCCCGATTTCTTACCACACATTTGACCACTGTACCTGCTTGATCCACATTCAACTCTGATAAATATAGCCAGAGCCAACCTCCCGGTCCAGTCCCCAGTTGAACTCCGGGGCCATCCGACAAGAGACACCCACCCAAATACCAAGCCGCAACGGTCGCCGATGAATGTCCGGTCTGTGCATTGACGACGTCGGTCGGATAGAGGTCGGCGATGGCTTCGCGATGTCCATGAATTCCGGGAGGAAGGTGGGCGAATCCTGCAAGCTGGCAACTAAAGCGTGCTTCACCAGAGTGAATATTGAAATAGGCGTCCCGGAGTGGGCTTGCGAATGTTGGTGCCGCTGCTGGGACTGAAAGTAAACGATCACTCGAACATGTATGTTGACCTTTTACTGGAGTGTACTTTATAAGGTGGCACAATATATTTATTATGTTACTCATCCCATAAGAAGTTCTTATTTCAAGATGTCATCCAAAGCTTTTGATGTCAATATGATTCACAGAATGCTATGAAGCATTGAATCGTCTGCAGCACTGCTTCGATGTTACCGTTGATTGCAATGAAGTTATAGGCCTCTTTCGAGCATACTTTGTCTGCTCCGTCCATCATACTTGTAACAGGTCCTCCGCACTCTTATTGGGTGGTGGTGGTGGTGGCTGTTGTGCTGACCAGAGTGTCTTGGTTTGTGGGACCTGGTAACATAATTCACTAGCTTTTACGGGATAGTCCAGGAAACTATTTGAATGGCCCTACACTTCCTTTCTCATGGGTAGCAGATACAAAGCGATATGAGGAAATCCAGAAAAAATGTTATAAGCTGTACGTCACATAGTCACAAAGGCACCATTAACAAAACATCACGGTACTCGGGACCCACAGAGGCGAAAGTGTATCAATTCGCAACTTAGATGCTACAGAAAATGTTCGTCACTGCTAGTGTGATTTTGAAACACGTGGATACCACCGCTTTTCTTATTATACAGAATACGCTAGCAAATCGAGTAATTAGAGTGCAAGTAGCTTTCTATCCGTTCTGCTATTCATCCTGAATGCAACGCCACTGTCATGATGGCAAGAAAACTGGAGACGGGGACATCGATGATGAATGAACTAATATAAGAACTGTGGAATGCTTGGTCTTTGTGCATGATTTATCTTCACTCATTCAATATACTATTAGCCATTCCGACCTAATTAGCGGTCTTAGATAAGCCGAGTTGACGGTGTGGTTGTCAATCAACTTAGGAGCATTAGAAAAAACCGGGGGATGGGGGTGGAAACCCCGACCGACCAAAGGTCACAGCATCCCTCTTACACAACTTTCTTAGTACTAGCTCACTCATACAGACTGACAGAAGGTTCAAACGAAGTTCAAGAGGAACCATCAAATGAACCGAACCAGAAGAACTAGACCCTAGGCTGGCCAAGACGCATATAGGTTTCCCCATCGGCCCAACACTTGTTCACCCACCCTAACACACCAAAATCCCTCGGCCGAAACCCAACAGAGAGTTAGCTTGATTTGACTGATTGGTTCTCCTTCCGCCTTAAATCTCGACCAACCTCGGAACCTAGTCACTTGGCCTGACGAAGCTTTTGTGTCAAAAGCGAAACGTTGCCCAGCAATAAATCTACCGATTGTCACCAAACTTTTCCGAAAACGATGACTACCCAACTGGTTTCAAGTATTTTTCGTGTAATTAGTGTCCAGTTTAGTCATCTGACTTGATTTTTCCTAAGTCATTTTGGTCTCTCATCTTCTCATAGCGGTCGGAAAGGTGAGTTCCAAACATGTGCTCCCAGTTTTGTGTTACCTTCCCAGTAAAATACCGAGAAAACTAATACTGTCTTTCGCACCTTTACCAGTCTGTATGGGGGTGATTCTGACAGAGAGATCTTCAATCGAAAGTTGGTAACCAAGGTAAAAACGTGATGGTCTGCCGTAAAGTGATCGAACGAGGCAAAAACTTGATATATATCCTCCACTGTACGGGATCGGGAGTCTGTACGTGTTTTAAGACCCATATCCTAAAAGCCAGTATGCGCGAACATGAGAACATGTGTTATATGACCAGAAGTTCTCTCAAATTCCATACTGTGCTCTATCCTCTCCAGCAGTCTACTTACGCGGGTAATCTAAATAGCGTAATTAGTTCTTATCTTAATTACTCACTTAATGACTGTGATGAACTGTCTCGTTTCGTAGATTTTGAAGTAATCTTTTTCTCCGTTTCGTCGCCTGCCTCCTCGATTCCGTTCTCATGAATGACCTCATCTTCGATGGGGACCGCATCAGTCAAGGTGTCCTGTCTGAGGAGAGTCAGTTTATTTCGCAATTCTAATGATGCATCGTCCATGGAAGGGATGTGACCGTGTCGTCCAGTAATTTCGGAATCCGTTCTGGTTCAAAAGGAAGCCGATAGAAGTAGCTGGCTGAAATCATATCCAATAAACCTGTCTCTTCTTCTGGGTGCAACAAATTATAAAGACAACTTACTCATGAGGATCAAGCACATCCGAAAAGCTTGGGATCGAAGATGCTCTTGAGGATATGTCACTCAAATTACCTTCGCCGTGAGCTGGCCCACAAGATAGCTGCCGAATGCGTTGTCTCACATCTTGAGCTAATTTGGCGGGGTGGTCATCGAGGTGAGTATCACTGAGGGTAGAATCCAACATACTACGGTCTATGTCTGTTGGTGATAGGGGTTCTGAATGGGTAGGTTGCTTCTCCTTAGGTGGGCTACTACAGGGTCGCTGAAATTGGATTAAAATAACAACTCCGGTAAGTATAGGTGAACAAATGAAGTGGGAGATGCTTTCCGATTATTGCGAATTTCCCTCCGTGTACTCGTACACAGCTTTTGCTGCAGTCCCAGTAAACAAAAAAGAATGAACAGGACCTAACGCCACTGCTGAACATCGAGCCTATAAGGACATGAGTCCTGGCTACTTTATCAACTTGTCAATATTATCTAGACGTTGTCATGCTCCAAACGAATTTTTTTGTTCGACTTTCAATTTCACCGCCATGTCAGCTGGCTCTCTTATAGGTATGTGTAGAATAAAACTTTACTGCAATAATGGGACTACTTCTTGCCATTCTTCTATAGATTACACAGAAGATGCGAGGAAGCGTGAAAAGTGCGTGATGTTTTTTGGCCGACAACTTCCTCCAAAGGTAGAGGTGCCTCCGTAAGTTGAGCAGACCTTAGAACTTCGTGAGGCTGTCACTCTCCACCAAAATTCTCACTTTTTACCGAAAAATGCGGTGTCTTCCAAAAACTAGACACAGCACCAACCAGGTACGATTAACACTGGAGGGAACAAAATTATGCTACTAGATAGCTAGTGGAAATCATTTTCAAGCCTGGAAATACTGTGCCGTCCACGAATGAGACAACTTTAACCTTTGCCTAGCATAATTGGAACGTAGTCAGAGGGTAGGCAGATTAAAGCGAACATTCCAGTCCCGCAGACGAAGCTTTCCCTAATGAAGTCGGGATATACCGATCTTTGGCATCGTGTTCTGATCATGAGACAACGCTACTGTCTACAGCACATAACGAAAAGCTTGCGTGTTTAGACGCTGTGCCAGGCTTGCTAGATTTGAGCAGATCGAATATACCTTATGGCCTCACGATTCCCTATTGCAAATGGTACCGTCAAAGGAACGAACAAAATGTTTTATTGAGCAAGGAGGACAATACTTTTCAGCCGTCGTTCGAACAACCGTTAGACAAAAAACTCGCGAACGAGGAAACTCACGATGGGTTTCACGTGTTTGATACTGCAAGTCTTATTATTCAAACTCCTTGTGATGAACAAAGCTTGCAGTATAGTCCTTCATAACGGTAAACACTGACGTTTTCTATTTCGATAATATGCTTACAGATATCCGCACCTTTTACAAGCAAGCTATCAAATTGACTCAAATCTTTGCGTTTTTTGCATGGTAGACGCCGGAGTCCGTGGTGAGCGTCCGAATGAGGCCTTACCTGTACCCTCAGAGAGTCCTCGTAAATTCATGTATTCAGCTTTTTCTCCCAGCCATGAGCCACCGCATGACGATAGAGTGACGGCTGTAGTTGCGAAGCATCTTGTCAGTCATCTCAATTCCCCACTTCTCTTGACCTCTCCATCAGTCGATCCTATCTCAGAATTTTCGTGGATAGCCTCAAAACCTACTGTAGTACGCTTATTACTCATTATGTGACGTCGTGATTACCGACCAGAAACTGCAGGGCCATTAGGCCTAACGCAATGATGATCTCACGATCAATCGCCCCTGTGTCATGCACCCAGAGCACGACACCTCGGCAGAGAGGAAGTAGATCGGATTGGGTCAGTTTGAATAATGTTCTGCACTAAAGATGCTTGAAAAATTATCGTTGTGTCTTGTTGTCGAAACGCGATGAGATATATTCGGGCAGCGGATCTCCGTGGGAAAAGGTCATTCTCCTGGCCTCCGTTTTTGGGCTAAGTCAAACCTTACCCTAAAGTTGAGTAGACGGATGACTGTTTAATGTTTTCACGAAAGCGAATATTCTGATTTAATCAGGAATACTATAGACCTAAATATCAGATGTGACCCTGCTTAAGCGTCTGGAGAACCACTGGATTTATTGCCTTACTGTGCAGAAAAGTTCATGTAAATTATCATAAAGTAAACTACTCATAAGGTGGCTGAAAAGTTTTTCAGAAGGGAAACTACTCACAAGGTCGCCGAAAACTCTTTGACAGCCCACGACCGGTTTCGCCCTTCTTGGGGCTCATCATGTAAGCGCAGTCCCCGAGTTTCCGTCAACGTTGTAAAATACCATAAACGAGAGATTCAGTTGAGTTTCCCATGAAAACCAAATTGATTCGCAAATGAGTATGTTTGTCGAAATTCATGTGAATTAATTTCACTCTGGAGCCGAATAGAAATTCGGAATACTTGGAAGACCCTCCAACAGATTTCTACTCGAAATTTTGTTGGTCGTTATTGAATCTATCTTGACCTTATGATAGTTCCACCCCATAAGCTTGGTGTTGCAGAGTGATACCCCTATTACGAAGAGCTGCTCAGAGATTCAGTGAGTTTCCCATGAAAACCAAATTGATTCGCAAATGAGTATGTTTGTCGAAATTCATGTGAATTAATTTCACTCTGGAGCCGAATAGAAATTCGGAATACTTGGAAGACCCTCCAACAGATTTCTACTCGAAATTTTGTTGGTCGTTATTGAATCTATCTTGACCTTATGATAGTTCCACCCCATAAGCTTGGTGTTGCAGAGTGATACCCCTATTACGAAGAGCTGCTCTCAAGTGTAACTATTTTGGCTCAAAATAACTTGAAGAACCATCGAAAGCAACAAATTTGGAATGCCTACTAAGGGTTAAGGCCACATGCTTTTGTTTATTTTTTCCGCCTATTTTTAAATCAGGACTTCCAGATTTTCAACACCCACCTTCCAACGCATGTGTTCAGTGAAGTTGTTATCAATGTCAGTCTATTATGCAAAGAGTTCCCAAAACATTACGTGGCATATCTAAATGACGCAGCCTGCCATTAAGACCAGTCCCGACCGAGCTAAAAGTTCGCAAATTTCAGGATGAATGATGCCTTCCACGACCTATTCATTTGCTGATTCTGGGGAGAAACGATCATTCGGTTATTCGAACAGTGCGGATCGTGGTCTCACTGTGGCAAACTAGCTTTTCCTACCTGTTCTTCACAGAAGTGAGGAGATAGTTGATCCTTAGATGTTTTGATACAGGAATCGATCTGGCTCTGAATAAAATCTCTAGAAAACCTTCACTGTGGCCCATGCCACCGTAAATTCCTCCCGTCTTTGTTTCCTATGACAAAAGCCACTCAGGCTCTCTGAATCATCCACATCACGCTTTTGGGCATCATCGACCACCACTTTCTTCCACTCTTGATTGCATTCGGCGTGAGTGCCCTCTGCTTCACAGGCCTTCCAGGCTGCTTGGGTGTCAAACGCAAATGGTCTCAGAATACTTGAATGACGCTAACTCTCAGGCCTGTTTTACATGCGAAACAACTGTTCCATCAACTTCCTTTTTGCATTCCCGTACGGAATTTGTAGTACCCCACCTTGGGTAACCTATCCAAGGAGATTGGCGAAGATGTTCTTCCCCCAGCTCCAGGTCAATCAAATTTTGCTTTGATGAATCTATTGCTCACTCCAGCAACCCTCTAGGTAAATATAACCCCCTTTCCCATCAAAAATAACTAGCATTTCCTGTTATCCTTCAGCGATATCCCAAAGTAACTGCCACACTGTTCATAGTGAGGCCATGGTGAAACAGTGGTATTCACTCATGATTGGGAATGCTGTTGTTGTGCCCTCTGAGCATCTCCAGTTGAGTGCCTGGGCGCCGTACAGCAGACCCAGCCAAGAAACAGCAGTCGATCAACGAATTGTCCTCAATAGTGTTAAGCAGCTCCTCGACCTACAACACGATCCACCACATACAAAATCAATATTAAGCAAAATTTTAGTGGAAGTTTTTTTCGGGTATGTTGAAAATCTAAACGTGCTAAGTTAGACTGAAGCGGAGGAAATTCAAAACATGAGGACTCGTAACAGCTTTTCTCACTTCACGCGTATTTTGACGCGGAGTCACATGAAGACTAGCAGGTAGAAACATACATGCTCCATAGTTCGGGGGTCTAACTCGGGTGTAAACAATTATGGCGAAATGTAAACAAAACTTCAACTGACCTTGCTTTTATATGCTTCGTAGTATACAGGGAGACGTTCGAGACGATATTCGATGTTTTGACCGTCGCTGTTTTTCAGCGTAGACAACCATGGATGCTGTAAACATTCGGCGGCCGTTGGCCTGGACCTATACCAATTAAAAAAGTACAAGAACAATGTACTTCCTCCACATTTTGATACTAACGAAGCGATCGAATTCGGTTATGATGGAAAGGTGAGCACATCCCTAATGGAACAAGAGCAAAACAGCCTGACTTGCAACCGATCAGTAGTTTTAGAGGGCGAATCATTACAGTGAGGTTTATTACATACTGAATTATCGCTCACTCCTTCCTATCGAACTGAACCCCGTAAATTGATCGTTTTATTGAAAAATCATCCAGGTATCCAAAAATACGTATTTGTTTATGTATGTATACGCATAACGAATGCGACCAGTTAAGGTTACTGAAACGGCTGCAATGTACGGATAGTACGCAATGAGATTAAGTGAAATCAAACTAACGCAAATGCTGACTTTAAGGAATTATAGGTTGATATTAGAGTGTTGTTAACAACTGAATTCAGATTTGGCATGTAGATAACAAAAGTAATGCAATTCAAAGGCCAAAACTGAAAAGCACTCCGCAGTGAAGTACCAAATAAACAAAAAAGGATGGTACAACCACACTGACTATTGGTTGCGATTGGTTTCCTTTTACATTAGTCGATGTCTAATCCTAATGTCTCCATCACCAGCGGCCAGCACTTTGTGTGTGTCTACTTTGAGCAGTGGTTTACAAGCATAAAAATCTCGTTATCTGTCTTTTGGGTTCAACATGTTAAATACAACATTGCTTTCACTTCACAGAAGACCCGTTGCCGGGAAATCTGAACACCAACCATTAGGATGATTACGCAGTCATTTTGGAACACAAATCGTACTCCTATTTATAACTAGATAAGCTGGACCAAAGTATTTTGTAGATGTTCACTCACTAAAGGGCTGATAACATGCAAGCAAAGTTCTAGCTTTACCTGTTACGGTTCGCAGACGAATGGTAGAAGACGACAGCAGGCTGCGTTCCAACTTGACTTTATGACAGATTGGGATCCAACTGGGAAATAACGAGTAGGACGTATCATTTTTACCAGTTTTCGTTCGGAGAATTCCAAGGCTGTTCCAATTATTGCCTTCACAGTTAACTATATTTAAATACTGATACTTTTAGTGGAAAGTGACCGTGACTCTAATTTTCCGACTACATTTTTTCGAGTTATTGATTTTTGACTAAACTACTAGGTATTGAGAGATCCGGAATGAAAAAAAGAGGAACATGTGAAAATAACTAGATTTGGACCATTTAGCTTGATTCTTATATCACCGTTAAGTCTAAAACATGGGCAGAAAATTTACTCAGTGCCAAGAGTCCATCGGGCATCCCCGTTCAACTCAGCAGCTAGGATTTGCATTTCCAGAGCACCGAGGCGACTTTATCCGTGATAAAGGTCAGAGGCAGGACCCGATAACTGTCCTCGTCAATATGTGACGGAGTGGTGTGTTCCACTCAGTCTGTAAAGTATGATCAATGGAAGTTCCTTCGCTTCCATTTCACATTATCGTTTTTTGCGCAAAAAAAGCCGATTGTCAAATCAAACGACGGTAAGACATGTCCTCGGAAATTGGAATCATCTGAAAACGATTTTTTCATGGTTGATGGATCACAAGGTCCGCTTCAAACCTATCTGGAAATAACTTGATACGTGCGAATGGCAAAAATCGTTAGAACAGTTCATTTGTATCCTTTGTATCGCAAACAAGGATTTATGGGTCTTCGATAGAGTCGCTGTTTCTCACTGAACCGTTTCCTACAGTTACGATAACCTTTTCCCTAGTGTGAACATCAGGCTTTTTTCTGGCACCACAGTAGTTGCGGATGCATTAAGCCTACAAAGACAAAGATGGTCGCATCATAGTATTCTTAATCAATACAGCGCGTGTCTGCTTCAGAGTCATTGCCACGGGTGTGTCTACATTCAACCACTAGTGGTTTTGCGGAAACCTATCTACTGGCCGAATTCAGGAGTACGAAATTGCGCTGTTAGGTTCTTCGCATTCCACGCATTCAATAATAGTAGATCCAGTATCATTCTGACAACTCTGTGAAGATTAGTCAAACACTCGTAACAAGTCAGAGTAATGTTTCGAGTATGAGCTACTTCCAACATAGACTGCCACAAACAGCTACTCACTAGCAGGTCTTGATTGGTGCATTTTGGTCAACAGTCGTACGTTACCCCTCCCCTAATATCTCCAATTTATGGTTGAAAATTCCGGCACTCAGAAATGACAAATTTTACTCTTATTAGGGTAGTAAATTTTGCGTTTGTTTTGGTGTCAAATTATTTCCCTCCGTGCATAACAAATCAGGTCCAATGTGTCCTCCATTTGCTCCTTCTAAATAAGGTTTTTATCGACTAGCATTTTCCGAATGGAGTTAAATCTCATTGTTTTATATAAACTGACACTTGTTCCACTCTGTATTGAGTTAGGTTATGGAGATTTGAAAGTAACTGTAGTTAAGACAGAGTCACGGCATCCTCAGCTATGAATGAAAACAAAATTATTTACAAAAAATATTACCCCGGATTAGGCTGCAGTAAGTCCCTGATGAATTGCTTTGCATTGTCAGAAATACTGTCAAACTCTGAAAGATCCATGCTGAAATTTGCGTTCAGGATCTGCTCACGGAGTGGCTCACCAGAATGTACGTCAAAGAAAGGACACCAACCAGTTAATCTGAAATGAAAGAAGAAAAGTACACCGGTGAAAGTTCATTCAACAAGAACAATTGCCTAAACATGGCGTTGCCACCTCAAATTGTTGAAAGTTATGATGAAAGTGTTATGAAATTTCGGAATCGCAGTATATTAGGGGGATTACGTGTCTGGTTTGGTTTGACTTGTACAGTTCGACATACGTTCAAACCAACGGCAGAATTTACGACGGAGCATCGAAAACACCAGTTTACTTGACCTGTTTACTCATCCTGGCTGCCAAAAAGACAAATTGTCCAAGCTGGATTGCTTTGTCACTGAGTATCTGAAAATGCCGCTGGAACATCTAGATTAGTTCGAGCTGCTTGCAGAGCTGGAGTAGGTGATAGTTCATGCACAGCCGCACGGAAATCTTACGTTTATCAATGAGGTGGGTCGGTCAATTAATCACAGATGCAACAGGCATGTGCACTTCTGATCCCTTTTGCGAAACACATGGTTTAACCCCGTGCAATCTAATGGTGCACACTGTGGCGTAGGTGGCTGAAATGATCTCCCGGCGATCTTCGAATTTCGTGGAAGGATAAGATGTTGGCTTCTCTCTCTCGGGAGAGAACACATTTGGTTGATCAGTTTGGGTGGTCTCTCTAAGGGAGAAAAACTAATTTACAAGTTAAAAATAAGTGTTATGTTGGCAGTAACACAGCGGTATGTATGGATTTTTGTGTGGCTAACAGTGTGTTCATCAGCCACCAAGAGTCGGCCGATGCACATTTATCAACCGATTAGCTCGTTCGATAGATTCATTAAAACATCTGAGTCGTTGTGTTTGTCTTGCCTTTTTGAATAACGGATAGCGCAAAACCTATTATTGCAACAATAAGCTTACGGAACATGATGGTATTGTGAGGAGATTCGGTAAAATTCAGTAGAGATTTCAACCTTCATTGAACCGAATCCCTGCTGAAAAGCCGGAAAAGACTGTATGACTATTTCATCCTCCTTGGAAATCAGCAGTAATGCGTACCTCACGAAACTCAGAGAGTTTTGAACCCGCGATCTTTCGGCCGGTAATTGGACACCTAACCGTTTAGCCAGGAGTTGCTGCTCAGCAGTGTGATTAGTTCTTACGAAATCCCCTCCCCGGGTTCGGCTAAGTAAAGGGTTAAATGGAGCTGGAGAGTAAAAACCCCATTTCTTTCAAGATGAAATCCTCTCTCTTGCCCACCGAGACACCCGAAGACAGTCGGAAGACATCTTGACCACAAAAAGAGTGCTGTAACTCTGGTTTAGCTGATTACAACCAACAGCAGAAAACATTGGAAAGAAATTCAAGTGAACTGTATGCCACGTAGTGACGTGTGCATTCAGTAAGGGTTGTACGCATTTGAAATTACCTGTAGATGCAAGAAAGTCGCCCAAGCTAGAAAATACGGCCACTTGAAAACCCGTTTTATAAGCACCTTTTCAGTGCACTTGAATGATGCACACGCTGCTACATGTCATACGGTGGCCGAAACGCATGATTCCGGATGTCCAGTGGGACGTGATTTGCGTTTTTGCTGACGCCAAACCGAAATCATTGGCCAAATCATCAGCGAGTGGCAGGATCATGTACGACGGACCTTCTCTAATGGCTAGTGCCAGAATTCGACGTGATTGATACAGAAATTTGAATAGAACATCATCCTCCACCTATTGATCCTCAGGAAGACAAGGTTATCCTTAGCACCACCGTATGGCTGTGTAAGGAAGGCACAAAACCTAGGCTATTCGTCCCTCATATTACAACTACCCGCCGGAGACTAAAAACGTCTTTTGGGATTTTTTGAAGTCATAGTAGAACCCCCTTGATATAGCATATAATTCACAAGGCCGGTGAAATCTTTCGATAGCCCACCACCATTTTCAACATTCTTGGGGCTCGTCAAGTATGTGCACCCACGAGTTTCTGTCAGCCTTATGCTCCACTTAATAGTCATATTATTTGCCATCCGCTTATCCATCAACCCAAGCCATTTGTATGGCAGTAATCTGCACACGATTTTGTTTCACCTCAATCTAATCAGAAGTGTAAATGGACAGGCCAGATAGTATACCAGTTATGCTGCAGTTTTTTGGTATGCGAGCAAATGTGTACGGTATGGGAGAATTATCTTTTAAAAAGAGCCTTTACGTGTAAGAATCGAGTAAATTTTTACTTCAACTTACAGCACATAGGTGAGTACACCCACACTCCACATATCTGCTGCTGGTCCGACCGAAATAGGTGACTCAGCGTCCGTGCTCGCCGACTGGCTTGCTGCAATTAGCACTTCAGGAGCAGAATATTCCGGTCGAAATCGTTGGGGCGGATAACAGTACACCGGACCAGCATTTGACTTGTTCACCAACGGCTCCGCGGACGAGAAACCAACCAGTTTGATAAGACTACTCAGAACGCTCATCTTATGACGATCCGTCTCCCTCAAACCCATGGTGTCACTGACTAGCGGTGACAAGGCTTTGAATAGGTCAGTATATGATGTTTGGCCATCCCATGTTTCTGCGGTCACGTTTCGAGCAAACAATAGATTTTCCGGCTGAGAATAATAAAATTTAAGCATATTAGATCAGGGAAAAAGAAGAATAGACGTTCGAGGAGATCTTATGATTCTGGTTATCACGCGAAAACAGCAGGCTTTTTCGTAGCTATGGTCATGTTAATTTAGCAACTCATTCCTTAAGATATCTTTTTCGGTACCAATAATATCTATCGTCAAAAATGTCACTTAGTAAAATTGCAAGCTTTACAGACAATCAACGGATAAGAAGTTTAAGTACCAACTCATTGCTTTGTTTTAATTTGCAAAGCCTGTACAGTTTCAACTCAGCTTAACCAGTCCTTCAGAGTATTCTAATACGAACAGAACCAAGTAGAAGGGAAATTTTTAATAAAAGCTAATAATTTACATACCTGCAGATCAAGATGTACGACACATTCAGAATGTAAATGCTGCACGGCCTCAAGGACCTGCTTCACAACCGACGCAGTTGCATATTCTGACCAGTTGTTACAGTGAAGCATTGCCTTCAGTAAATTGGGACCAGTAAGCCTGGAGAGTGAAAAAAAGTAAATGCATGAATCTTATCCTGGTACACCATGGACATTTAAATGACAGAATATTTTCACCTACTAGAATCAAATTTACCGTAAGATTCTAGCCGCATGGCTCTAGAGCGTCACACTACGTCAGGTTTCACTATACATGGATAGATACGAGCACACGTAGAATGATAATTCACAGGTTTTCAGGGTGGATCTATTTTATCACAAATCTGCTTATTCAACCATTAGCAACTAACTGAAAAACAATAGTTTGTTTTCTTCTAGAATAAGACCACGCCAGCTCCCCAGTGCACTGCACAGTTTGATGCTGATAGTCTGCAGCTGCCTAGTTTTAGCATCAGCGCATTTGTGTTATTTTTAACGTGGTCAAACACGGCAGGAAAACACCAACTGGATTTCTAGCCGATGGCAAACAATATACAAGTCACGTTAATTTGTGACCTCTAGGTTGTGAGCTTTAATGGCCATGATGAATGATGAAGCGTGAAAACCGTCGGTCTTGGTGTGCAAGTACGCAAGCCGTTAAAGAACACACAGAACAACAGCTTGTAAGTACATAGAACTGGGTCGAACGCTAGTGTGGGGGGTTTAGGTACTAGTTATCTACATAATTTACACGTCGATTTCACTATAGACTTCGCGCTATGCTACCACAAAATTTGATGACGTACGCTCAGATGGATGCTACACCTTCCACTAGGCCGTTTCTAACCAGTTTATGGCGTGGCTTGTTCGCCGAGTTACCTGGCCGCGTTTTTTGTTTAAGCTCATGTCAAGGGGCTGTAGAAATAAACGTAGCTGGCAGCATTAACGAGCGTAGCAACAATATTCCGCTTTGTATCTACTTGACTGTCAGGCACTAAGCACTATGAACATCTTTTGTCTCGTGTTGTTTTCCCTAGGACATCAGCCCAGAAGCAAACTTGCCCATCCATCGAATTAGGACCAGTTGTGGTCGTGCAAGTCATATAACGTTTTCGTACGAGAATTCTCTACTTCACTCACCCATAACCTATCACTTCAGCTTCGCCTCGTTGTCTCCGTCACGGTGGTCAGTGAGACAAACTAACCGAAAAATTTTGCAGCTCGTGCGTTTGATTGACTGCACGGCATGGTTCAATGCCAATCGGCTTGACTCAGCAGTGCAGGTGGTCAGTTCGTTTATATACCAGGTCTCAATTCGATTTGTTACTAGGAGTACCGCGAAAAAGCCGTTCTTTTAGAAAGATGATTACTGTATGGAGGTCACAGTAAAGAGGCTCTTCTTCGTTCTGTTCACTTTCTCCAGACGGACGCACAAACAGCCAGGTGCAGCTGGAAAAACTCTCTTGATAAGCAAGACTTTTAACAGTGGACTCAGCTTTCACCATTCAGCATCAGTTTTCCGATGTTTAGGTTCCTGTATATTGATGATACTGAAACGTAAGTCAGCTTCACATTTTACACAAAGGTAAAAAAAAACGTAAAATAAAAGTCAAAAAAATAAAAACGGCCCATAATGGCAGAAGCGGTGCACAAGAAGATAGAGCAAATTATCTAATCCAACCCGTCGTCTAGTCTTTTCAGGCATAGCTAGTGTGATGAGCTCCCACAGCAGACCACAGACAACTCCACATAGACACTCCACAGGCCCAGAATGGACTAACTTATTACCATTGGCAGATGAATGTCCTGAAAATCTATGAACCACCATCTTACAGTCATAGCATGATCCCAGGGAACTATCTGTGAAAAATCGTCAGGAAGATACTGAAATAAGAACCTACCGTTCCATAATCAGCACAAGAACGTTGTCGCTGACTATTGCATCGTGTAACTGCACAACGTTTGAGTGACAAAGGCGAGATAAGCATTCAAACTCCCGTGCTCCCGCAACCCTCCCGATCGGATCGTCGAGGAAATAAAGCTTGCCCACATATTCTTGGTTTGTCTGCTTATCAATCAAAAGACGAAGTTCGCTGACATCGCCCCTGTGGGAGGTTAAATGCATTGTACTTTAAACTCATTGACAATGGCGCCATGACAGTGAGATTCATAAAAACATCAGGCTGAATTCTTGCTGCACTGATGTTATGCAGACTTAGCTACTTATCGCAGAAGTGATTAAATTGATTCAATGTTGGTTCTTTGGAAGAACCCCAATGCTGAGCAAAAGGAAACTGAAAAGCCTGGAACAATTTGACATATTTAATAAAGGCAGAAAAAATTGCAGATCAGTGCAACTGGAACATGGCCCACCGTAGCTTACTCAGTAAAGCCATAGAAAGTAATGCTTAGTTGTCGCACTGCCCCCATCTAGTAGTATGTGTCTTTCCGTAAAGACTTGCTGAAGTTGTTCTCAAATATACCTGTGTAGGGATCGGGTCTTAGGAAACCTTCACTACATGATTGGATGGTCCTGATACTCACCTACTCCAGTTGTTCGAATGACCGATAGCGGATACATGAGCCACTCCTATTTAACATACAGAGCTGTCCGACCACACACCGGTCAATCTGTATATCTAAATGAGTTCATTAATAATGGCTGGCCACAACTGAAGTAGTCTGTTTATTGATTACGTAACTTCGACCCATGTAGTTAGAAAATATGCCCTTGAAATCACGTTGGATGATTAACTAGCCAGTCGATGGTAATGTAGGATGTTTCGCCTCGGTGGCAAATTATTTGAACTGCTTATGCCAAACATTATTTTTTGAACAAAGTTCTTTCGAATATGTTATCGACGTGAGTAGTAGGCATGCCAGTCGGGTTTCGTTCACCAAGTTCTGTCTCGCAATCAACCAAATTGATGAATTTTTGGTTCGTTAATTCGAAGCAAGACATAGACTCCGCATTGCCAAAAATCAGAAAGTTTTGACTTTAGGTTTCGGCGGTCAGATGGTGGTTGTCAATTGGAAACACTTTTGGTGAATACACAAAGTGATATCGATCAAGATGGACGGAACAGTGTACTGCTGAACGTAGGCGTGCCCCGCGTTCGCTGTCAGACAAACTTGACAAGCCAATTTGATTGGTCTGTGGTCTGGACGCCCCAATCAGATGAAAGGTTTGGGATACCACTTAGTATATGTTTAATGCGTTGTTAGCTTTCTATTAGTATTACCAAGAGCCTATTCTGGATACTGTTTAGATCTCGACTATGGAAGCTTCTGAAGCGAGAGGCTTACTGAGAAACTGCGATATTTTGCGGTGATTTAAAGCAGGGAAACACCCGAGGCATACCATACATCGCGGAAAATGTCGGCGCGAAACCGCGGGGAAAATGGGACATCCGAATTTACGGCAATACCAAAAGGTGGACATTATATCCTGCCAGCTACCAGCAGTTGGAATCTTAACAAGTAAAGTAGATTCAACACAACCCATCCTAAATTTCTTCTGATGTACATAGGCTGCGCGAGTGTAACCTTCATTGTAGAACGAATATTGTAAGCTAAATGTAGCATAAGCTTTCTTCTACATCGCTAGGCCACTACAAGTTACCCAGCTCGGTTTAATACCGTAGCTGGCAAACCTTGTCGTTTCAGCTGACTTCCTTCAGATTTTCTGAGCGCATCTATTAATAGACTATTAACCACAAATTCACCGACAGTTCCTTTGACAATGAACTTACTTGTCGAGCCTTCGAAGCACGTAGTAATGCAATCCGACGTCGGTCCATCGAAGAGTTGGAGATTTTGGAATCGGTGATTCTGGAGCAGGAAGACATTCAAAGTCGAGAGTAAGAATATTACCAGAGCTGGAAGAAAGAACGGGACCTTCATACTTGAAGACAAGCGCTCACTTCAAATGTCTATAATCATCTCATATTACTTAAGTAATCCAAAAGTTAAGCACCAGTCTTCGATGACGTAGGGTGGATATTATCTGGTGGAACCATTTCATAGAACGTGATGGACTGAAGTGTTTTTGGATTTGATATAGAAGATGATATCAAAGTTCTGGGTTTCCAATGGTCTTTTCAGAGTTTGGTAATTTTGTGGCAAACATTTCATCACTAGTCAAGTGAAGCAGGGTACACCATTTTCTACACTTGCCTCTGATATGAAAAAGCGAATGGGTAAAGTAATCAGTGACATTTCTCTATCCAAGACAACTCACCTTCGATGCGTATGAGACAACTGGTTTGGACACGTCCAGCGATATTCTCAGCAACCAGGGTATAGAGTCCGGCGTCCTGATAGATACACCGGTCAACCGACAGTGAAGCATTAATTGTGAAACACTGTGCGTCCTCTTTTGTACGAGATATTCTAGATCCGATTTTTGTGCGATGTGACTCAACTACACGTTTGGAGTCCCGTGTCCAGTACAACGTAGCGGTTGGAACCGCGTCAACCCAACAGGGCAGTTCAAATGAGCAATGAAGTTTGACGGTCATCACAGGGACTGGTACTTCAAGAAATACCGGAGCGTCTGCAAAAGTGATCGGTGAGTTGAAAGTGTTCAGTTAAGGATTCTGAATGTGATTCTGCCAAAAGTCATGAGAAAGAGCTCAATACCCTTTCTTTAATGCATTGTGTTCAATTTTCTTGTCAGGTTTCAAGCTACTCCTATAGAGGTTCATAATACTTTCTTAGTTTAAACGCCCATTTTTAAATTAGCGGATGCATGATTGAAGGGCTATCTACTGGTTTGACAGTGAGTCCGTATGCGGTGGCGCTGCCATGTGCCGTTCATTCTATCGACTCTCCAAGTGTATTTGTTGAAGTGGTCATCTGTTTTGCACCATGCACTTCGTTTACTATTTCACAAGCAGCCAATCCCCTTCCTTCACCGAAAAAATTCCCAAATCACCGAAATCACCTATGGGAGAGTGGATTGAACTGCAATTATTTAATTTAAGCTTAGTACGTATAATCCAGCGGGGGAGTGCCAAAGACCAATTTCTTCAAAAACTGTACTCCTCTTCTTCTTGTGTTGCAGTTGTTCTTTGAAGGTTTTAGTCTCGGGACTTTGGTCTTCTGGCCTTTTATCATCCTTGAGACAGGTTAATGCAGAGCCATAATGAATACCATCAGCATCAAACATCCACTTCCCTACGCTTACACTTTCCGGACAATTCTGTTGCTAAAAACCCAAGTTAATGGGTGAACCAGACGGAATAAGCGATTCAAACCAAAATAGGATAAGAAGAACATGGTATCCAGGTCCACCATACTACCCGTGAAAGTAGGAAAGCCCTTCGCTGAGGAGTTGTTTATTAAAAAACACCAGCCAAACAGTTATAGGCTACTGGACAGGAAAACAAAACTCATATGCACCTTCTTTTTAAAAGCTGAATACCGGCCTTCTTTTTGAACACGTCTTCTTGAACTTTTTACGGATATTCGTTGATTACCACGCTAATGTAAACGAATGCTGCAAAACAGTTTCACAAATTCCGTAATAAATACCACCTTCCATTAGATCAAGGCAGAGTTACGAGAAAACCACATACTACCCACACGTTTCATCAGTTTCCACCTTTAGACCCGTAAGTGGGTTATAGATGACGACGTCGATACTTAGGAGTATAATGGTATGCACTTCCGTGAGATGTACACAACAGGTGTGGTTTGCAGTTGACTTTAAAGGAAGCGTTACATCAGAATCCGTTCCACGTTTTGCGAACCACTAGAATCGACCCACTTAACAGCCGTACTCTCGGAACAATGATCGGATGAAACCCAATTTTCCCCCGCGATGACCTAATGGACAGAACCGCACCCAACATAGAAAACAACAATGGGGTCAAGTGCTAACAGAACAACGGAGGCCGGATTACTTGCACCTAAACTACTGAGAAGCAACTTACGATAGATCCATCCTACAGAACGGCCAAAAGTAAAATGATGAATGATAGGGACCCGACAAAGTCACATGATGTGACAAGAACAATGCATGCTATACGACAAACTGACAAGGCAACCTTTCTGACAGTGTACCTTCACTTCATTCCAGACCGAGCTCCAATATGTTATGTAACCGTTTTCTCACCCCCATCTTGGTTACTCTTTCGGCGAAACTATTGTGCGTTTAGCAATAAAGTCGTGATGAATTGGAAACTAATTATTTTTCTAGCATTTTGACCTCCGTTTGAGTGTTTAGACAATCCTCGCAACCGTGCTATAGTGACAACACCGATAGGCCGCACACATGAGGTGACCGATCATTTTCGCCAGTGTCATCGTTCTACCATACGGAATTTCAGTGGTGAGCGGAAAACAGTATGTAGAGCGTCCTTCAGTACCAGCACAGATGGCGTGAATACATATACCCAGCACAGAGGCGTGAATACATATACTCTATCTGCAACATATAAAATTGGATGGCTATCTAGCAACAAAAGCAGGATTATTAAGGGTAAATTTTGAAGGTACCATACTGAAGGTAAACTAGACAAATATTTTCCTTCATCTGACAGGACCTTCCTCTGAAACATCGAAATCCACCTGCGTAGGAACCATGAATTTATTCGTTGAGATTGAGCAGTGGATCTTAACCGAGCGGCAAGTTTTGTCATACACATTTTGACATAGACTCATGGTGTCACTACTGGAAAAGATAGCACACCAAAACATTATGATTTTTCTTGAAACTTCATTATCAGATACTCCATTTCACTTCCCATTCAGAATGACCAAACCACTTCCGTGAAGTGGACGGGCCAACTAGTAGTTCGATTGATCTCTCATTCCGTTGATAGTATTCGAAATGTTTTGGACGCAACGTGCTTTTGGTTGCTTATTGTTACGATCATTTATTGTTCACTCTGGTCTGCTCTATCCGGGTGTCACTATAACCTTCAGTAAATAGGGTATGAAAGGTTAGCCAACTAATTGTATTTGAACTGCAGCGTTTCCCTACCTGCCTTCTGTACTGTTCAGTATACTGCTGTCAGTCACTTACTGGACCGTCTAAAACAAACGTCATGAGTTTGCACCAATTCACTCATGGTCATTCTACCCATTCTGACAGTCGGCATCCAAAGAATATTGTTTATGATACAATGCATACAGTCTCCGCGTTTTCATTTTTGAATGGTGATGCTCAAAAAGCGTGTTTGTATGTCATTGAAATACTCTTGGTCTAATTAGACTACAAGAGCAGGTAACTTTCAAGTTTAACCATCCTAGCAGGCTTCTTGCCCGTATGAGAGTGGAGTCCTATTTCCGTTGAGTAAATTGTCAATCAGTGACACTGAAATACTGATCGGACTATCGATAACCACGTGTATAGTCTCATGAAGGACAAATGGAGGGAATACCTGTTTATACATAATTTGCCTTCTTGTTTCATCTGTCTCAAACTCGAAACTTGCAGCTCTACGAATCCTGGGACAAAAGAATTTCTGATGATTGGACGAAACTTCTTGTCAGTACAGGGATTCCTTGGCTCATCGATTATTCTTCTTTTAACCATATCGGATGATGATCGACATTTCCCTAACTTACTTTACACAGCTGGACTGCGGACAGGCACCCAACACCTAATGTGACAAGGAGTGATCCGAGTAGGAACTGAGGATTTCAGTAATTAGAGATACCAAGCACCGTGTGACCATTCGGTCATTGGTCCTTAAGTCTGAATTTAAGTTTGTTTGTCAAAGTGAGTGAAATGAATTCAATGAATCTACATGAACAGGACTGATTTGGTTGGCTATCAATCGAATGGAGCTGGAATAAGACAAGTATAAGTATACTCCTTCTTAAAAAAAACGTGCTCTGGTAACGAGTTTTATGACCTGAATCTAAAGTAGATTTAGACTGTCTGTTTTATTTTGCACTGTTCAAGTAACCTTCTCCATACTCCGAAACTGTAACATATGAATAGGGCAAATCTTTTCGATGCACACCTTTTGCTGGCTCAAACAAACAAAACCAAAAAAATCGATCACAGCGGTATTTGGGTGTTATCAAATCAATGCAGTTGCGATGCAAAGTTTTGACAGTGAACCGTTGAAACAGCTCTGATTGTGCATAAGGTCAGTAGGTATACGATGAACGTGTATTGTAATGGCTGGATCGTATGTATTTACTGTGAACGTGTGAATAACTTTGCGTTTTTAGCTGGCGATAAATCAGTCTCGGCACTATCAACATTTTTCCGTGGCAAGTTGACTTTGCTTAACACGAAACAGTGGCCTGTTGAACTCCGTCTCCCACGCACAAATAGCGAGATGTCACGGAAAATTTCTGAAGTGGTGCTGTTAACCTGCGATGATTACAACGTGCAATTCCAACCGTTTAAGATGATACCATGCACTGACAACGTCTTGAGATTTAAAACAGAATGACATAAAATAAATCAAGATTTTCACATAAGAATGACTACAGTTAAATGAAATTAATCGTTCTTTTGAGTATGACACTGCTCGTTCTGAGTGGTTGTGTACCTATACAAGATGATACAATCATGACTTGTGATCATCTCAGACCATGGATGCAGTGTGGTAAAAGATCATGGACTAGTGGCAGCAAAGCCCCGCACACGCAGTGTGATAAATGCTCGTTCGTAAATGCTCGTAAACAAGAGACCTAGCTGAAACGAACCAAAATTTCCCGATCGTACTATGCTTTTGAGTAGTATTTAATCAAGCAAACATGTTTCATGCAGGTCGAAGTCGATCAAACCAATGAGCAATGACAACCAAAGGCAGCGACCTCAGTGAATCTGAAATTGACATGGTATTTGAAATTTGAGTCCATCTTGCAATTTTCAAGCAGACAGCACGACAAGCTATGTAACCATGAGCTTTGGAAACGAGCTCCGTAAATTACCATTCACAGTTCGTTTGCCCGCCTTCTCATAGCACAGCAGCCAAACGATTTCTTGTACTAGGATGCAAGTGGAGCCAGAACTAACCGTGATCCGCTATCCCGATTTTCTGGCTACACACCACACTGATTGATTGAACAACAGCGTAACAGCTCCGTGTGTCTTCTAGGTGCGGGTAGTTGTTAGCCTAAAACGGAAGAGAGGACTCCGTCCTCTCGGCAATAGTAGGCACTTTCAACCATCGAGGATATCGGAGACTATGATCCAAAATGTTCCAGCTTCACCGCCGCTGATCGACGGCAGACCTATGCACTGGTCTCGGTGAGAAATTAGGCATCGTCCTGAGAGAAGTAAAGTTACCTGGATTAGTCAGAAGGAACCGGATGCTGTCGCGGAGCTTCCATCATCGTGGTGGGTTTTCATCAAGGGTCAGAGGAAATTAGCTTAAGTTAAAAAGGATAGAAAGAACCTAGTTTATAAGACGGTGGTTCACAATGTTGTATGTACGTGTGCGAGTGATTCATTTATTCTCTTCGAAGTTGCCCCGTGTGGGAAGGGGTGAAAAGTTAAATTCTACACCACATCAGCTTAACAAGGAATAAATTTTTCAGCGGAACTGAAATGCGTCTTATATCTTCATCGTTCTTCTATATAAACGGTCAAGATTCCAAGTTTGGTGTATGTGCTAGGTGTCCACATGGCGTGGAAACAGGTCTCATTTCAGATAACCATAAACGCCCCATCTCTAACAAACTCTAAGAATTCTTTCTGAATCTACGAGGATTCTTTTTTCCGGTCAGTTATTTATATAGCTGTTTTGGGTGCAGATGTTTATGGATTTTGATTGCTTCAATTCAAAGCGAACCAGTGATTTGCTTTCGTTAGAGACTCCGTTAATTCAGGTGAGCTCTTTGTATAATTCACAGCGTAAAGACAATCCACAGGTACCCCACCTACGTACACAGGTTCAGATTCTTGCAGTTAGTATGTCGATTTTACTGGTATGCTGTTCTAAGCAAGCCAAAACCAATGTTCCTTTACGAATTCACGTTGACTGAGAAGAGACACCCGACAAAGACTTATTCATTGTTAATTTACTTGCAAACAAAGTTTCTGGTGTAGGTGAATGTTATTCCGATCACCTCAGACAGTTATTTTGGATCAGCGAATTCGTTTATTCGCTGAAACTTGGCATCGTATACATATTTCTGATGAAGCCACAACTCCCTTTTTATGTAGCGATTTAACAAGGATTGCAGCTTGAGTATCTCATTCATCCATTGCTGCTGGACGATTGCACTGAAATTTGACCTCGCGGATCTACGCCATCAGCATACAACACTATATCGAGAAGAGCCAAACTCCCCGTTAACAAAGCCAAACAGATAAGCATGAATTGGTAGACTGTGGAAATCGGCACATCTCTAGTTTGATCCTATTTGGGTTTTTGGGCGCTAACTCAGCTGCGCGACGGTCTGTGATGAAAGTCCGCTGATCTTCCCCTACTCGTCGGTTGTTAGTAGTAAAAACTAACAAATCCTTGTAATCCTGCGACGAAACGTACTCAACAATCTACTCGCCTGATTCGGATCCCTTAGAAATTTTAAGCAGAAACCAATAACTTCGGTTTTGTCTGGTCTTCACCGTTTGAATGATAAATCTATAAGTGCCTAGGTGTAAATCTACCCCTAGTTAACATTTCGCGCCAGCAGCAGCAGATGGGCAGATCCAACTCCGCTCCACCATTTGGAACATTCTCCACAAATAAAGTGATGGTAACTGTGGGTCAGAAAGCTTTATCCTGAATTTCGCCATTGACCTCCACGTAAAAATAGACGTCCACTAATGAGTATCCACTACCAAACATTGAAAGAAGCACAACAAAAACAAGTTACTCACCAGCCTTTTTTACAATAAATTCCTTGGTTGTTGATCCACGAATATTCACCGCTTTGCATATGTACACACCAAAATCGCTTTCTGTCAAATTATGAACTTGTAAAACTGCAACATCGGAAGTCTTCGATACATAACTCTGGTATCGTGACAGCCTGTTTTGTTGCGCGGATTCTGTGGTGAGAGAGAAGGTGTTATGGTATGAACATATTTGATGAAATAAGAGATTCTCGTGCGCAGGATAAGGGAGTTCCCAAATGGGAAACTTCAAGTGTGACCACACGAAAAACGGGCACAGTAGAAACAAGTTCACTATATCGACTGACGAGGAAGGTGGTTCGTGTCCAGCCTCACGGTGATCGAACGACTAGACTCAATAACCTCTATGTATACGACTTTGTGCACTTATCAAAAATACTACACAAAAAGTCAAGATTTTCGGGTCTCGATTACGTGAAGCATGCTGAAAGTGTCTGAAGGTGTGTTTGACAATCGATAACCTCAAGTTAGGTACGGTTATTAATGGTGTTGACAATTAATGGTGTTGTGACAAAAAAGACTGCCTGGAATGCTCCTTCAGAAAGATATCGATCAGTTCTACTGTCATAGGTATCGCCGCAACCACAGGTGAGCCTACATGTCGAACAGCTGTAAGACAGTTCACCTGGTTGAACCTGTACGTGCTTTCTCCACACGGTTACGCCATCGAAACCCGAAAAACTGCTGATTTCATGTAAAGCATTGCTAATAAGAGCGCAACAACCCAAATTATGTAAACAGATGCTATCGGTTCGAGCTGCCTGACGGGCGCGAATCTGAATCCGAAACACCCGTTTCCTCAGAGTGATGTATTTCGATGCAAATAACTCCTTGTTACTATCTCTTCTACTTATATGTGTTGAATGTTCAACTTCCGCGATTGGTGGAAATAAATTGAAATGTTGACGTCTCACAACTTACAGAATTCAACCGGTTTGACAAAATGGATCCAGGAAACGAAACGCTTCAAATTTTCCAAATCTAGATGCGCTTTTTGTTCTTCAATCAATGATTGTTTCTGAGACTTCTTAACATGGTGCCCAGTGCAACGTTCCCTTCGAAGTGGTGACACAGCGAATGCACTCAAGCTACTTATAGGAATCATCAGTTATTCAAACTCGTTAATTAGAGCACCTGACTTTCTGGATGTTGTCCAGCTAGATACAGTTACAAACATCCCAGCTGTCCTAAGTGGGGCACGCTGACTCGCTCAAACACACTTTCCAATCACGACACTTAGAAAACACACGATCCCATGAACCAATATTGGAAAGTATGTGGTGTAAACTCGACCAGGATGTGCTTTGTTTTAATCGAACGGTTCAATGTGTAAGATTCATTCTGCTATCATTAAAAGCCAACCAACGGAAGTGCAGTTTTTATATTCTCTTTGACGTTTGTCGGATTTCGTAGTGCACGGACCTATCGAGATGTTCACAAAACTAACACATAGCAAAATGCTCTTCCTGTTTTTGCAGTGCAGTCGAGTCTATTGGTTTGTATAAGAAGCCCTTAAGTTCAAATTTAGCTACACCAGGAACATTACGAGGGTCTAAAATTCGACGGTATTCAGTGTTAATCCATGTAAACCTTGTGAAAAATCGTGCCACTTCTATGGGGAATGTGATTAGCTTGTTGCGGAGACCAAATATAACGAGTTAACCAACAGACAAAAAGCTTGATAAAGCGACAAGACTAACCAGGAATCTCAATGGGTCTACCATTCAGCGACCAACTGAAACGAATATCCGCGTCTGGTTGGATTGTTTGGAGATTGGACCTCAGTTCCAGACGACCTCCGACTGGAGCATACAATACTGTGCCCTTGGGATCAACGAAGGTAGGTGACACTAAAGAGATAAGCAAGAACGACAAATTATCTTAGTAGTAAACGATAAAAAGAATATGGGAATCACCTTTTTGCCCTTTAAGTATATTACTCCGTGGCAAGTCCTACACAGGACGGCGCCTGTTCGGTTTAGCCAATCTCATTGGGAAATTTACTTCGGCACAGCCTCTAGAAGCAGTTATTTCCATGTTGTATCACACCGAACAGAGTAACCTAAGTATTCCCAAAAGAGGGATCAACAAAAAATACATTGCATCTGCACATGAATTGTTTGAAGACTATACGATCCCTAATTTAGTGTCTTCATTCAAGGGGCAGGACCAAATAATCATGAGGGGTGACCTACTAACAAGCAACAACCCCTTAACAACTGCTCTTCCTTTTGTTTGCAGGGAAGCTGATATATTGGAAGCTGCCACAATCGGTGACGCAACATTATTATTCATACCGATATTTACAGTGTTTGTACAATTAACATGTGCTATTTTCATTTGAAGTTCTTATGGCTCTGGAAACTAGGTATTGGAACACATTATAGATGGCTACACTAACTTACGTTTGGATTGTGTTCAATGATTCAATGCTTCTGAGTCACAAAAATTCGAGATGAACTTTATTAGTGAAAGTTAATTTTAAAAAGTTGTCTCCACTTGTATGAGTGTGTACTGTTTCGTTTAGGAGCGTGATAGTTCCCAATATATTACTTTCACTCCAACAAGGGGAGGCTATTGCTAGGAGATGCCTTAATGCTCGGTCATTCCTCAAACTTTCATAGCTTCAGTCCCCTGAATGAAAACTGTTTGTGCACAAAATCCTACCCCCTAGATGACTTCCACAATGCCTACTCGTCGAACTGTTTTCTTAGACAGATGATTCAAAAAAAACCATCGCCGTTTCCTTTGAGATAATCTGAGGCAAATTTGTTCGCAGTTTTCTGGTAAAAGAATGGACGCTTAACTCCGCGTCATTCTTTGCAGGATTCAGTTTCTGCTGCCTGTCTTGATATTTAGTCTATCTCACAGTATTCACCATATATTTGAGTGACGAACACTGATATTCACCTTCATACCTTTCGTTAGCCGGACTATTTTCACTTTTTTTTACTAAACCACACGAAAAACTCTTGGAGTGTCACGTTTTGTAATGGAGAATTGCAGAACCGATCCACACAGTTTAACAAACAGGACAAGTAAAATTAGCTCCTAGTAATACCACACTGCACTTACATGAAACATATCTTATGGTACATTGGCGTATAGCTGTTTGTCACAATGCGTTGTTCTAAGTGTGGTGCACCTGGTCATAGCAGTCATCTAGGCCTATCTGTATCGCAATAGTGCTAGACAGGTGGCAAAAGCTGAGCAGTCGAAGTCACGCTGTCATGGCAGCGGAAACGGAGCTTCGAGGTGCAATGGCCCACACATTTGTATTCCAGTTTCTCACGGGTCTCCCATTTATCGTAATTGGTCTACCGAGCTACGGACACCGTCACAGTCGTATTACAGCACTGATTATGGATTGTGTTTTTCCGATACTAGAAAGTGACCGCGTTGAAATGGGATCTGCCTTGTCACCACTGTAGCCTAACAGCATGAGTCTAGGTACCTTAATACACCGTCTCAAATAAATTCGACGATTTGCTCAATTAGTAGGCAAATATTGGATATCTTATTCATCTGGGTAAGAATGGCTGGTTATTAGCAAGATGAGGACGTATTCTGACGACCGATGACAACTATTTAATTAACTGATAAGGGTCAGTCATTGCAAATCCATTGTCATCCTCGTGGAGAGCATTGTACGCATTTCCTGAAACACAACTTGCCTCGTGTTTGGTCTTGAAAGGCTTGTTTCTTTGGACGCGGAACACAGTGTGAATACCTGGAAAATTGTCTTCTTTGTAGAATGTTGCCATTTGGAAAATGAATTACTGTACCTTTGCTGACTTATAAATCATTTGTAGGCAATCATTTGTAGGTGACAGCCTTTACTAGTCCGGTCCGTACAATGTGGTGCGATTTCTCCAGAATGTTCGCTCCTACCTGATTATCTAATGTGTTCCACCGTTCAGTCTTTAAACAAATTTCCAAGTTTGGAGAGTAAAACGGCTCGACTGCGACTTAAGATAAAGCTAGAGTGGACCAAGCAGACCAGGCGTCAACAACTGTTCAGAAAGCTTAAAGGAAACACTTTCAGGAACAAAATAACGACAAACTATGAAGTAATTCACAACCACTCACACAGAGCCGACAATAAAGGTGTGTATCGAGTGGTGATAAAGCTACAAACGTGTCAGATCAGCATACAGACACCGAAGATCCGTACAGGAATATCTCTCAACTTCTCCCAGGTTCTTTACCCACCAAGGAAATGTGCGCAGTAAACAGGTGATCATGTACTGCGCTATACACATACACCATTCTACTTTGGAATAGGATAGGGTTAACGAATGGCTTATGTGCCAGTTCAAAAATTACCAGTTCAAGCAACCTGAAACATTTATTTGCTCCATTGATTTTCAGCTGGCCTGCCTTGGATGTGGAGGATGACCGAATCTCAACGTCAGGTCTACTTTAGTTTCGGCACTATTCGACAGGACGAAATAACTAAGTAGGATTTCCACACTATATATGTGTGACTTCTTTCTCCTGGGTGCCCTCGCTGTGTCACCACGTGAATGCACTGAAAACTACTTGAGAAGGTCCGTTCTCAAACTGATTGATATTCCAGCTCCCTGGTCAGCTTACAGTCGATACGGATTGCCTGTTGTAATGTATCAGTCAAAGTAATGTCACAGTATTCCTCCGAATCTCCAAGAGAGTTTCCTGTTTTCCACCCAATGACCATTTGACAAACGGATAGTCTAGAGAAATACACTCATTTGCAAGCAAATTCGGTTTTGCGGGAGACACACCTGGAACCCAGCTGAATCTCTCGTTTATGATGTTGAAGAATTTTCAGCAACCTTATGAGTAGTGTGTCACGTCTAAACGGATCTTCCGTTTTTAGAAGAAACTACTTCAGCTCTGCTACAAATTACTGATGGACCGGATCCACTCCCGCTGATCACAGATTGTAGACCTCTGAATCAAGGTGACGAACAAGTACTGCTGTGTAGTTTGCAATGCAGAAGCTCATAAAAAACGTAAACGCTCCAGGCAAATCCTCCAGGCAACTCTCACTTCAAGAACAGATTTGTGGATGTTTTCCTTGCTGTAGACTCTGAGCCACAGATTGGTGTGATGGGAAATGTGTGCAATTGACTGTTTTGAAATTCCAAGCTTATCAGTGTTGCTGTCGAGCGATTCACACCTACTGATACTCATATTTTTCTACGGGAGAGCTTCTGATAATGAAGCCCAATCGATTTACACCACCTGTATCCAATTATTCAGTGATCCTTCGCCTCTAGGTAAGTCCACCTCTGCTGGACTTCGGCTTCTAAATTATTTCTGCTAGAGTTCTGAGAACAATAAATTTGTGGTATCCAGGACCAAAGTTGTAAGGCTACTATCCCGGTAGTCCCTACAGTCACGTGAATGCATTTCAAAGGAGAATTGTAAGTCTAGGAATGAGTGCGTGTTTAATGATTATCTGCATGTCAGTGCTGAGCGAGGAGTTTTAGAGATAAACGAATAAAACTTCAAAAATCAGCTGACCTGGAGTTGCTTCGTGGATAGTCACTATTGAAGCAGACATTCGTTGTTGTCGTTCTGTTCAAGAAAGAAATAGAATGTAGGAAAAACGGTCAGAGGTCGTTGGCCTTTCAAGTTCAGAATAAGCTTTCCCAACAGAATTCATTGAAGTGATAGCAACCTGGAAACATACTTGACTAGTCCATCTCCATAAGTTATACAAAATAATCGACGGTCCACACCAAAAAGTAAACAAAAGGTGTGAGATACCGGGACGGAGCAAAAATCAAGGCCTGGTTTCGCAGGTAACTGAGGGTATAGTACGCTTAACTGCCTTGAAGGTAAAAGACCACAGTATATAAATCAAACGAGTCAACGAAACGGAGAACGCATCATGGCTTTTGTTGACCCAGTTCAGTCACAATAACTGGTGATCACCTTTTTGGTAAGGCCAGCAAAACGGATACGGCGTGGAGATGACAAGTGAAATTACGGTGTTCTTAAAGACTACGTTTTGAAGGCCATATACTGCGAAAACGGATGATATGTCTTTGTTTTTCCAGTCGTCTAAGCACTTTCCAGGATACTTATTCAGAAGGACATTCATTGCCTTGATTACAATTGCCGTCCAAGGTAGCATACCTGGCTACCGCTGGTTCATGCCAACTTAACACATGATCACGGGTATTTTGGACACTTGACTCATCCAGTAGCTTATAAATTCTGCTATTCGTTGCACACATATGTGCCTCTAACGCCGGGCAGGTTATATTAGTAAACTACAAGCTTTGCCCCTTTCGGTCGCATACATATCGCCATTAGCTTGTAACAGGAGGATCATCTTGTATGCACATAAGGTGAGCTTACAGACAGTCCTTCACACATACAAGACTACAGTTGTGATCCTTGACAGGTTGACTGAAGAAAGAAATGGGTACAAGCTGTTTTGGTATTTTCCACCAGTCAACTATATGACCTGTCTGATAGGAGTGAAGATGAATGTCAACCATTTCTCGCAGTACCAGACAGACGAATTATTTTTATTGAAAGGAGGATAAGAGGGTTGCAAAACTCTCGACAATCTTTTAAAATGTGTGAGCGCTTTTTTCTCCAAATGTGCCCACTTCACCTATTATTAATTATTCCTATAATTAATTGAAATAAAATTATTAACAAGGTTCCATTAGGCTGGAACTAATTGGTACGATAAGTATATAACCAGATGCCTCTCGTAAGAAGTTTCCGGCAACCGTGTTAAACCCGAATATTTTCTAATTTAATATACTGGAGGCTGGCCTCGAGGAATGCACGTTTTAATAAGCAGGTTATTTAACATTAATGGAATGTTTGAAGTTTTGTTCCTTCCTCTCCATGCAACGCTTACTTGCTGCTAAGTCGACGAGTTTGCGAACAGACTGACTTGGAGCTCCTCGACCGTAGGCCGTCACAGCTACAATACGAAGCCAGAATTCTTGCTCCGGATCCAGGCGTCCCAACGGGAGACGTGTTCGCTTGACGTTAGTCTCCAACACCCTCCATACTGTCTCGTCATCATCCGCTGCGGACTGTCGTGATGCGCTGTGATCTGCACGCGGAACGGGACTTAGTGCCAGGCGTGATGCATTGGCCACTCCACGAACCTGTACTTCGTAGGTGACTGGTGTCAAAGTCTTTTCCAGACTGTACGCCCGGGGCAGTTGCCACACTAATTCCGGAGCTGTACTTCCTGCTAGGATATCAGCAGGCGCTTCAATTGATGGTCGGATGAAACTGAGATCAGGAATAACTGTAAACAGAAAATTTCAATTTTGTTTGCGTAATAAATAGAAGAAACTGAAGCAATATCCGGTGTGAAACATTAGGGTACCACATCGATGTACTTTCTTCTTCCACATAATCAGCAAGCAGTTTGAACTTTTCAACAGACCTAGGTGACCTTGCAGAGTGCCAAGATCAGGATCGAATGTTTTGTGGAAACTGAAGCGATCTACCCGGGTAAACATGCTTCGCGCGCGTATCATTTTAGGTCTAAAGGATATAGATTAGAGAACGCATAGCCAGTTGATCAAGTTGGGTTTTGTATTGAAGACCCTCCACCACACTGACTAACGTTTCAGTATAGCTCCTTCGGTACTCGGAGAACTAATGTTGCATTAGCAGCCTCTTTACCGGTATTAAGTCTCATGTGCACTTTATGATATAGCCATATGTTTCCGGCCACTCTGCTTGAAATTTACGTTAGTTTTGTAGCAAGATCTCCGCTGGAACAAGGAACAATACGTTTCACCAGCAAGTTATCCAATGACGAAAGGATGAAAAATCCGAAATTCCTGGATGAAAATTTCTATTCCCCAAACTAGACTGATTTAGGTGACGTCAGCTTTCGGTTTATTCGAAAAGCGCAACATGGGTTTAAACAGGATTAAAACCTAATTGTTTACTGCTTCGTCAGCTATTTATCGGTGGGATTGCCATGACTAAATTAATTAAGTAGAATCACATTGTAACATGTAATTGTGAAAACTGTTGAGGGTGACTTCATATCAACACAGCGATTTAGTTTAACCATATGCTAGATAGTATCAAACTTTCGAGAAAAAGGTGTTAACCCACAACAGCCATTCATTCCCGCCTTCAGGTCAATGTACGTAAATATATCCTTTGAGCCAGACTGTTTTGTGAGCTATCAAATAGTCGAGCATATGAGCAAATTGTCTCAAGTCTTGTTAGATCATACAGTGAGTTTTATCGGGTTCATCTGAGTGAGATCGCGACATATTTCGTAGACGAAGTTCCTGTTTCAGAAGACTTTCATCAACCTACATACATTTGCCTTTGCTGGTAAAATCACCTACTACTAGGACCTTTCTCCCGCTATCCAGAATGCCTTCCATTTTGCCGACAGGGTCTCCACTGTTCACAGCTGTTCATTAAAGCTTTTGTCTAAATATGAAATAACACAGAATTAGTCTAATTCTACTCTGTAGCAGACTGTTATCTAATGATACTTGTGTAGAGATAATGTGCCGAAATACTGGTAGCTGGGGTGTGTTCACTAGTTGTCGGTCAGATGGCTATTGATCTGTTCACCGGCAATTAACTTGCAAACGTTTCGTCACCAAACGGAGAGACTCCGTCAGTACACCCAGCTGCATACTGTGCAAAAGTTGAAACCTTATGTTACTTTCGATAATGCACCCTCGTAGTTATTATTGGCCTCATGTGGTTTATAAACGGCGGTTTTGAGGAAACAGCTTCCAAAACCGAGGACAACTATCAAGCCAATGGAAGCAGGTTCTGAGCAGGTTCTGATTGGTTCCCCGTCTGTCTTATAACCTGGCCAATTTTGTGACCTGTTCACTTGGCCTGATGAAGCTTTTGTGTCAAAAGCGAAACGTTGTCCAAATAAAAACTACCGATTGTTTACCAAGCTCTTCTGAAATGAAGGTTCTGAGTAACTTTATTCATTCATATCATGTACTTCGTACGAAACACAGGAGTAATATGATGACTTGCGGAGAAAGAGGGTTCTGGACCACTTTTTAACATCAGTATTTGGGTTAACTTGAGTTACATTTACTTCCAGAGACACGACTGCAAAAAGGTAATGTCGATCTGTTATGGCGGGCAGTCCTTTGCAGGAAAAGATGCACATGATTCGAAACGAATGCAACAGGCTTTAGAATATTACCAAAAAATTTTCCATTCTTTCAGACTGGATTTGAAAACAGTACATTCCACGTCTTCCGATCGAACTATTTTCGGCAATTAAATGTAGGTAAATCCTTAAGGTAGCAAAATGTTGAATTGTCGAATCAGCTTAACAGCCTCCGCGGAAATTGTTCGTGGATTCTACCTGCCCCCACCCTTCTTCCTTGGACAGTGACAAATCTTTTTATTGATGCAACTGAAGGCATGTTATGAAACGGCTATCTATTCATTCCACAAATCCACGGATTCATACACGATTGTCTAGAAAATAATCAGACTTAAATGCCACGCGGGTGTCGGGATCCCTTGTAGAATTCAGCTGTTCTAGAAAAATGTCCCTATATCACCTTGTGCAAGAGGAAATACTTCAAGCAGAAATCAGCCTTTCCATGGCGAACCTGAGATAAGGCGTCATCTTGACGCCGCTGGCGTCCGAAACATGGTTCACAAAAATCAATAGGTGCTGCACGCTCATCCTACCTATTTCGTGAAATCATGAAGTACTGAATGATGCGGATATTGAAGTACAGCATTCAAAAGGGGAAACCGAACTACAAATTATCCATTTTGATGTGGATAGAGTTGAACACTGGTAAATGGGTGATGAAATTTCGGATTATCCAACTTGAAACTATTCGCTAGTCCGTTTTACAAGATTCTGAAGAGTCTGACAGCTTTGATTCGCCCCTCGACCCACGTCGTTCGGAGTTGTTATGCAGCCCGTCCTCCAAAAAGCATGCGTGTTTCTATAACCCATGAAACGTCACACTGATGGCTCCAGTGGAGACTAAAATAATTCCTCGTAAAACAGAGTCGTTAGCTATTCAGAGATCCCTACAGATGTGGGAATCCTCATACGAATTTAGCATAAAATCCTTACTGAGGATTTCCCTGAGTAGTAACCTTTCTTCAGAAGGGATTTTCTTTAAGAAGGTTATTGTACCGGTGTTTCTAGAGTGGTGTGGATAGCTTGCTAAGAGGCTACATCATCGACCACACCTAAAGTTCTCGTATCGTAATGCGTAATTATGGTGTTGATGTTGTTAAGCGAGCACAAAAAACAGACCGCACGCACGAGGTAAATTTTCACAAGCAGATTATCTAATTGTCCTATTTTTATCGAATCTCGTGTGCTTTGTCGATCAGTAATGATGACATGATAATGCTATACTAATCTTTGTGTTTTCAGTTGATTTTAAAGATTCTGCAGCTGTTTACTGACTACCACAACGGGTTACGTTAAATCACATCCGTTCACCGAAATAACACGCGTTCCATTAGAACAGTAACCCAGACTGCGCGCACTTTGACTGTGTAATGCGACTCACCAACTTGCGGCTCGACTCGAATAGAACGAGACGGTATCCCAGTTCCAAACTGGTTCGCGGGTAAAACACGTACGTGATACGCTTGTAAGGGGTTTGGTTGTGCCCATGTATAATGTGGCTCTTTCAACTGAGTGGCAATCGTTTCCCATTGGGGTTTGCCTTCCCGTTGAACCTAGATAAAGAGGTGAACGTCAAAATGTCTTACACCAGGTACATATAGGAACACAATGAATCAGTAAATACACACGTCCGCTATTCACAACCGACTTCTTTTAAATTTTAGCATCAAGCTCAAAAGGCTGGATGTAGAAAACAGTTTACATCAATCTACATGACATCTTCAAATTCAACACTAGGCTCATGCGGACCATACGGAAGCAAGGAGGTTGTGAAAAAATTACTGGCCAGTTATATGAAAAGCTATGGCAAAGATGTGGCCGGCTACCGAAAAGCTCAGCCACGCAAGGAGTTTGCTTTAATCGGGGCGCATTAGATGGTCACCGATCGGATCGATCGACTGACCACTCCAGGTTAAAGACTGCAAGACCGCGTAGTCGCCCTACCAGCTGTAAGCAAATAATGGTTGGATTTGGTTAGAGGAGTGTTTTGTTTCCATCATCCGTTAATTAGGTTTTGTCAATTATCAAGTCCACCGTGAAGCTCGACCGTTAGTTAAGCAAACACACAGACAATCACTAGTAGTCAAAATGTTTTGACTAATCCACAGGTGGTTAGATAAAACATCGTCCCAATTGCACAAACTGTGTCCGAATGGGAATGGGAAAAGATTCTTAATCCAATTTTCCTCAAACTGTGTCAGCACAGATCTGAAAGATCCCTCAAAGGAACCAACCGATGATCGTAACTCAGCCGTATCAACAAAGTATGGTGGTATTAAAGTTTTGCCTCGCAATTAAAAATAAAACATATGTTCTAGATGATTGACTACGGCACCGTGAGGATCACCGATTCCAGAGGCTGATACTTAACTGTCCATTTATGTACACGGAGATTAGTACAGTATAATGCGCAACGGGAAATACACCAAAACCTCAACTTTTTCAGGTAAAAGGAACCTATTGTAAACCGTTTTTGGCAAGCTGGACATAAGCTAAAACTATCAAGCACCACCGATAGCAAGTACCTATTTTGATTCATCTGTAGTTCATCTCACCTCTCACGCCTGACGAATATGCGTGGTATCAAGTTTGTATGTGCCCACTCGCCATCCAAAGGGCCAGCAATCCAGGCAATCTTGAGAGATCAGTAACACTTCAAGTGGCAGTTTCGTTGAAATTATCTGTTTTACCATTGACACAACCTAATTCGATCAAGAGATTCCCTGGGATTTGGAAAAAATGTTGAAATAGAGGATTGTGCATCTTCTATAGATCATCACTTCCACCGAAAGGATTGCGTTCTTTGAGCCCACCGCTCTAGTAAACATTGTCATAACACTAACTCCCTGCCTTGTTTTTTTACTGAGCCCGTCATATCTCAGCTGTCTGCAGCAGGCAAGTTTTATCACGTGGGCAAAATCGATAACACATGCCGTTCAAGCCTACGTTTTTCACCAAAATTGGTACATAGGCCGTCAACCACTGACAAACAACCGAAGATTCATTAGACCTTCGTGCGAGGATTCAAACAGTTTTCCGGACTGGTACGTTCCTAGACCTTTTCGCTGAAGACGTCACTATCCCGTTACATCGCGTACGATCCACGGTACACAGCAAATCAAAAATATGCTCCAGCCGAAAATACACACGGACCACCTCATCAGTGTGCTGCACATGAGGATGAGTCATACGTTCGGCCATTTCCTGTTTCTTGTTTAACCTCCTAGCTGGATAACGATTTCCAACTTATGAGACTAGCCAATGTGTACATTTATATTCTCCCCCCATACTGGTCATCCGTACCCAAAACCCCGGCTAAAGAGACGAATTTAAGCCAGCTTGCGAGACAATGGCCAGAATGGTATGTCCTCTGGATTGGATACAAATATCCGGGAACTGATTTCCCTGGAACCGACTTACTGTCAACTTTTCCGTGGGAAAAACAGCTTGAGTAGTTCAGTAATAGTGAAGATGCAACGACAGTGCTTCACCTTTTGTGTGCTGCTTAGATGATGCCTCAGTTGTGCGGTATGTTAATCGGTTGCCTTGACAGAGATGAGTGGACTAAACGACGAATACCTGCTTTGCTAAACCAGTGCTGCAACTGAAGTAAATAATGTAAAAGTTTGTCTCATATTTTCACGACAACAGACCTATTCGGGCATCGTCTCAAAAGGTCAAGTCAAAAGGTTAAGAAGTCTCGGTGGACAAGAAACCCTTTTCTGACCGGAAACCAATAAAAACGAATAGCAGAACTTTTGAAATCAGTCCTGCGGAGGCAAACTTTTATGTTGCTCCGAGTGCTAGAATCTGTGAACTTCTTTTACTTCAGTGTGCATCTAAAATACACACTACGGAGTTTCCGAGTTTTCCTGAATGCACATCCAAATGTTCCGGGAGAAGTAATCCTTATCAACGACCTTATCATTCCCTGTAATTTAGATAAACTATGTATAGCCAAACTAGCATTTGCACGTAAGCAAAACATACCCTCGGTTCACGTGATCCAAGCGACATCTCACTAACTCTTCTTGAAAGCATAGACATTGTCTGCATGTCAAACTCGTGGTCCTCTCTGAAAGGGATTTGAACCCAAATATGTCCTCCAAGTGGCCCGTGGTTTGAGCCAAGAGACAGTCTTTTGAGGATCAGAAAAATCGATACTAGTTTTAGGAGACAAACAAAAAGTGTCCACTTCTGCTGGATGGTCTCTCCTGAAAGCCGTAGCTTACCCGTGACTAAAGAAAAACGTGAATCTTTTGTAGACACGGACACACTGGTTCACACTGAGCTGCGTGGATGGTCTAATCAGCACTGAGCACTTCCAGGCAAGCGTGTATTGTTGACCGCTGCTGCGTTCTTTGGCCATAATCATCACGGCATTCAATTGCTACACTGGAAAATTTATCACAGTTCGCTTCTCTTCTCTTCAGCTCATCTGAACAGAGGACTGCATATACCGGTCCAAATCCACATGGAGACAGCTCTCAGGCTGACATGCAAAATAGGTCAGCGATGTTCTTTTCAATTCGAAATTAACCGTCATATTGGCACCGGTTTCGTAGGCAAATGAGTGACTAGTTCGAAAGATATAATGAAAGTTTTTGGGGAAAAGTTCACAGACTGAGAATATCAGTATGACAACAATACATGACATATCGCTGCTTCAGTTTAGAGGATTTCGCAGCTACAAGCCCGGAGTTGTTGAGTTAACCTGCGGACGGCACTCTATCTTATGTTAAAAGATGAGGGTCAGAATAATCATGCAACTGGTAAGAAAACTACAGAAGTGCAAGTCATTTACGTACCTTTCCCTTCTGAGGAATATAACGAATGACAAAAGGGTCAGAAATGTATGGATGGGGTAAAGAAAAACTCTTTGCATGCAGTCAGTAAAATCTACTTAACAAGAGCCAACGATGCTTTCTTCCAAAAAATGGCTGCATTTTGAAAATCTGAGTACTCATTGTTGAACATCAGGTTCAGTGGCCCTGCAACTTCTAGCTTCTAAATTCCAATATTCATACACGACCAATAAATAAATAGTAATGCTATTAATGCGAGTCAAAATTACCTGAACGGCGTAGTTCATTTCTTTCTGCAACGTTTGCGGAGTTGTCAAGCCCAAAGTATGGGAGGAGTAGATCTCCTGCACATCCGGCTCATCCCAGCTAATGACGTATTCTTCCACCGTTTCGACGTGAACTTTGGGCTTGACAAAGGTGTAGTCCGGTGTCATGGCATCTATAAGGGTTTAGAGCCAAATATAAAACATCAGTTCGTTAAATAGAAAGAGTGACTTTTTTGCTAAGTAAATGAGTAGGTATGAGAAAACTACTCACAAGGTTGCTGGAAACTCTTCGACAGTCCACGACCGGTTTCACCCTTCTTGGGGCTAATCAGGTAGACGCAATCCCCGAGTTTCCGTCAATCTTATGTTCTACTTGAACCCAAATTGGACTGTTTTCGAGAAATACACTCATTTGCACATCGATTCGGTTTTCACGAGAGACTCAACTGAATCTCTCGTTTATGATAATTAGTTGAGCCTTTCGCGAAAACCAAATTGATTTGAAAATGAGTGTATTTCTCGAGAGTAGGTAGGAACTTTTCAAATATCCCTAGTGGTTGACTTTTTGGCTGAGCTTGGTGTTTATTCCTGATATGCATCGTCAACGTTTAAACAGACCGTCTGATGAACCCAATCAAATCACCATTATGCTGCAATACTGCTATTGTGGGAAAGTTGGTCGTCTATTTTCCGCCTAAAAAGTATTTGTTCGGGGCTGTACTCATGTGATAGTTTCTTGAGATGATATTTTCGGGTGTTTCAGGGAGAGTACTGAGTTCTAGGATGAATTAAACTCCTCCGACCAATACGAACCATTCCCATATGCTCGAGTGCGTCAGTCAGAAAGCTAAATACATCATAACTAGTAATTGTGATCGTGGTTCTCTAGGCCTGCAAACCCAGCATTTTCAAGAACATAAAATAAGATCGAACGACACTAATTTGAAACGGTTACGAACAAGTAAGAGTCAGGCAACTAGATACATACTACTCAAAAGAGACTACATTCCTGTACAAAGACTCGATTGCTTTTGGAGGCAGATGCATTCACTGGCATGACATATCAGTGCAAAAAATGAACGGAAAAAACCTTGCCTGATAGACAACCCCTTACCTGCTCGAACGTTCAGTCGTATAGGTCGACTTGGAGGGGACCGTTGTCCATCAATAAGCGCCACAATGCGACATGAAATGTCATGATCTAGATAGTGGCAATCTTGTAAGAGAGCTTTGGCGTTCAAGTCTCCCTGAATTTCTTCCACAGCTGGGGACCAATCACCAGCGTACCCACCCCGGACCTCTACCGTGAAACTAACTCGTTCCGAGTAGTCAACGGAGCCAGAGCGGCATAGACTTCGCTTTCTTCCCCATGTGTTGGGTTGATCGTGCTTCAAAGCGTCGATTGCTGCGTCACCCAAACGCCAGCGTAACTGAAACTCAGTTGGTCCCAGGATAACGTATCGCACATCTTCTATGCAACTAAGAAAAATATGAGAATCTGGTAAATCCAGCTTATCTGGTATATGGCAATGGCTTAGCAATAGCATAACATCATTGACTGTATTCAGCTGGATGTGTAAGGGACCGTTTCAAATGTTCGTATGGATTTCAAAGGCATGGAGAGTGTAAAGTTAGCACAGCGGTAAATAGGCAAGAATACTTCTCATTACACCTACACGCCGGTCATATATCCAGTGCAGAATGAACAAAGTTCATTGTATCCGGATAGAAAACAGACATTTGTAATGAACCTAGTGGGATGATCCGCAAGTCCCCTGATAGCACTGAATTTAAGTTTCCCTCTTATCTGCAGAAGGCCAACAAACCCTGGAAATAGTAAATAAATTCTTTCACGTTTCAGAATCTCTTATTGCTTGCATAGCGATACTCCAAAGCTCTCATGACTCATATACATCGACTATTAAGGTTCACTTGATAACTTCAAAAAGCAAAGCGTGGGAAGATTATACTACTAGTCTACTGCTCCTCAATAGCAAATGTTACATGCTTGGTGATTTGTTTGACCAGCTATAATTCTTCTGATGTGTACAAGCCTGTGCCTGCGTTTTGAACAGCCAAACTTTAGCAGCACCCACCAACGCTGATCGAAGGGTAACTCCATTAGGATAATCTAACCAATCCCATAAAATCCTTTTTTTTGTATTCTATGCGGCATACCAGCGAAGAATGCACCAGCCCATTCAGTGGGGTTGAATTGTGATTGTTCTTGGACTCTATTCATTTCCCTTGGTGCCAAATCAGGTTGCAGGATTTAGAAATGGTTCCGCACTTGTTGATCGCATATTATGCAAAGGTTTCATCGTCATATTCGATTGTGGCAAAAAAAAGTGGAATTCATGGCATAATATCTGTCCGTGTGCGGTATTGCAATAGATGTATATATCAAGAAACTGAGACATCATCCAAAGCGAAGCAAACTTCAATTACGCTCCAAGGCTATCCATGTAAAAGCCAACTGTTGAAAAATGACCTTTCGGATTGTTTTCTATTTATTTGGCTTCAAGCAGGACCCAGTTCTAGGTGCAGTTTACTGTTCCATGTGAGCTGAACCCGCTGTGAGTAATAATACCATTCTCATGAGCCAATCCCGCATATGCACACTAATGTCCTTATCATCCCACCAGATGAAAAAATAATTCCTTTTGGCTATTCATTAGCAGTGGGCTTCGTTTGACCTAACCCAACACCCTAAACTTTGAAAACACACGTATTAGACAATCAGGTTGGCCAGCCGTTTATTTAAGGCAGTCACCAAACTCCGCCACTGGTATCAACTACTGAGATCGTTGATTGCCAGTCAGTATCCGCTTGGATTAACCCAGTAGCAGAATTTTCTTTTGGATATGGCCAACTGGCGAGTGCTATCATTAGTCCACAATACTCAAGACTTTACTCTCCCTCCAATGAGATGTTCCCCCCTGAATACTGACTATATAATTCATATGGAGGAGCTTTCGAATCCGTCCGCAGAAGACCTCTTCGTTGCAAAGCAGACTTATCCGAAGGATTCTGGGACAACCACGAGTATCAGGTACGCTTCGCAATTAAATGCAACAGAACGAACTTAGATGCTCGGAGCGAAAAGACACAATAATGTGAACGGAGTTTGTATGGTTAGAAACAGCGCGAACAACAGCGGCACAGACAATGACAACAATAAGACAGCGATACTAACCGAAATTGGAACGTTTCCCGAATACAGTTGCCTATCGGTTTGAAAGAAATTAGAGAAAGACAATTTTATACTCAGAGATTTGCATGTATAACTAACTAACGGTAATTAACCTCGCTTTCTGCCACGCGAAACAGTCGGCAAAAGACGTCATAAAATCAACAGCGGTTTTACTAATAACCTAAACTTCTTTGGGATTATTCGTTGTGCCTGACCATATTTTAATTATATTAATATCTAGGTGTGTTCACAGGGAATCGGGCTTCAATTTCACAGATTAACACACGGATTCCGTAAATAGATTTTGAATATTCAACGTAGGTCCCGTCAGACGAAGTTAACCTGTGCGGAGAAGCCCAGAGGTAGTGCACGGTTGTCTTATTCGGAATGGGAATGACCAGTCACGTACAACTCACCAATTTCATGCTGATGGCGTTCAAACCATAGTGCTTCAGCTATTAGTTTTGCATACAGGGCTGATAAAAATAAGCATTCGATGCTACCAGTAAAAGATGAGATTTATACAAATACTGATATTTACCTGGTTTGAGATGTACCATCGCACCACAGGCATGGAACAAGTTAGAGGAAAATTAAAAGGAAATATGTTGATATCGGGAAAAGATCAATCAGGTTAGCACTTAAGCAATCATCTTTTTCGAAGCTGATGTTTGAAATCCAACATTCTTGTCTTGTCCTGCATCTAAGGCAATTTTATAACTTTCCACCCTGGCTTGTTTTATTATCACTGGTGTAACGGGGATACTACTGATGAGGCATGCGAGTAGTGTCTTCTCGTAAATCCGCTGCATGTTTTTTGAAAAGCGAGATCTATTACGGAATTTGTGGAATCGCTTTGTAGCATTTCCTTGCATTGGGGTAACAGTCAATGAATATCCAGGAAACTTCGGGAACACGCGTTCAAGGAGAAGATGAATATTTAGTTTTGTAAACAAGATGCTCCCCTATCCAACAGTCTGTAACTGTTCAGTTGGTGAAAATGAACAACTCCGCAGCGAAAGCCCTCTTTCTTTCACTGGTATGGTACACACACATACCCGAAAATAGTTAAATTCGAATTCGACCACGGCCTCCATCAGTTAGCACCATGGAGTCACAACTTTTACATGAATCAAACCAGTGATTCCAGGACTTCCAACGGCCTCATAACATACCAAGAGTTAGGGCTCAGTTATCACATCTTCCCATTCTCATACAGTTGCGTAAACAGGTTCATTATGCTTGCAAGCAAATTACTGATTAGTCGCCGTCTCCTTTGTTATTTGGATGAGTCATTCTGATTTGAATGGACAGGTGAGTCATTGATCGGGACTCGACACTGCTGCAGGTATGCGTAAAGCTATACTGATGTGACCGGTTTTGACAGTCTGACTGGAGTTTTTTGTCAAATTCGGCAAACTACTGATTGCAGCCCGGGATCGAACCCCGAACAGCGTGCCACCTGAAATATTGAGAAGAAGCATCACATGCACATCAGTTGGTTCCACGGTCATTTGTCTACATTTGCTGTCAAAGCCAATAGTCTAGCTCCTAATATAAAAAGATGTTTGGGATGAAAACATTCCTAACTCTGCAATATTCCACGAGGACATTCTGACTTGATCAAAGTTATCACCATAGAACGTTGGGCAAATAAGAAACCAATCGACTAATTTCAAAAGTACTTGCCTCAATCCAGCTAGAAGTGCCAAAATTATCTGCTGGAACAGGGCACGTCCCTAATCACAACAACAAAACGGAGGCTTTAGCTATATAACGGACCCTGGAGACACCGGTAAACGCGGGGTTTCAGTCCCTTCCACACCATACATAAAAACTTGGTACAGGCAATTCCTGCCTTATAAACTAATAAGCCTACTTTCAGACTCGCTATCAGGTAGGCACCATCATTACGGCTAATGCCAACCGACTTTTTTTTATGAACCAAGCAGGGAAGGTTACACGTGCTACGTCGAACTCAGAAGGGAGGTGGTTATCTGGATTGCAGTGAGATTTGCTGGATTTCACTTAAGAACGTTCAGCCGTTATACAATTCGCTTCTTTTAGACAATCGTGGTGCACCACTAGTTTGTCGCCATCGAGATGAAATTGCTGCTACTAATGTTTTGGACAATAGATGGAATGCTTATAAGTGTTTTAGGGTCCGGAGCCTTAAGTCCCGTAGACAGATGGCCGAGTGGTTCCACGTGTCACTGTCGTTTTGTCAACTTATGTCCAACAAGCTCGGTAAGGATGAAGAAAGAAAAACTGGCTGTAGATGACTGTTTGGTTACCTTTGGAGTCAAATTTGACGACCGATTTACAGAATACAGACAGCGTGGAAGGCGCTTGTTTCTCACTTCACTGCGCCACCGCATAGAACACGCATTGATCGCTCGAACTCACTTCCTCACCGTTATTCGCAGCTTGAGCCTGGACGTGTCACGAATGCACAGACTCAGTCAGTCACAGCCTACACATGAATAAACGCACTTGCGTTCAAGCCACCTAGCCAAAATTGCCCAGCAAAATCGTTTGACTGCTTGTGTTGGTAGCTGATTTGTATCGCACTCTGTCCAGTCGATCTTGTTTCTCATTCTCACAGTGGGTGGAAAAGGGACAATACCATAAATTCAGTCAGCATTTACAATCGGTAAAGTTCACCTGGTTCTTCTGAAGTACTCATTGATGCATCAATTTGGTTTTAAAGGAAGACACAACTGATTCCCAACTGAATCCCTCGTTTTTTATGTCATTCCATGGAATGTGCTGCCGATTTCATTTGCAAGACGAAATATCTTGAAAATTTCCCAAGTCTCTTCATACTGTCAACAAATTACGTTCTTTGGAATATCGCTATAAACAAAACGGTAGTTTCAATGCCTTTCCTTTGGGTTAAACTGATCGGGAACGCAAGGAAAGGAAACTTTTTGAAGCTACCTAAACGTGTGCAACTCTGATCACTTTTGGTCAGAAGCGATTTTGACCGCCTGTCAGTTCGACGGTGAAGTGGTTGCTAATGTCTGACGATAAGTAATCAGTAAGGCCTCACGACGGAATTTGATCCCTGTGAATCTGTGAAAAATGCATAACAGTCGTAAGTTTGCTTGAGTCCACACCTCGACTGAGTGGTTTTATTGTCTTACTCAATATTTTATGAATATGGTCAACGCAATTTCTTGATCTCTGTTTGGCTGAACCCACTGCATACCAAATGCTGTGGATGACTAGGTGTTGCTCTGGCGGGTAAATTCTGTCAGCATTGTTATAGAGTTAGATTATTCTGGTAGAGTAAAGCACTAATTTAGCTCACTCTCTCAGTTATCCTATGCTTAGATGCTCAGTAGTCCTTAGACGGAACACAGATTCATTCACCCAGGCAGTCAGATCACATCATGTGACGCTGACTTGTAAGTCGAGCGGAAGTTTTGTCAGAGGAAGGCGTCCCACTTTTTTGACGCATTGTTCTTGGTTCGGGATGCTGAGTCTCAGTAGAAGCAGAAACAGGATTACAGTTCTTACAAGATTTTCAGCACAGGTAAACCCAGCAACGAGTTCGCCAAATCGTGAGTAACTCTTTTTTGATGCCATCCTTCAAAAAACATCTTCCCTGAGGTGTGTGGACCTAGTCAAGTGTAGCCACAGCTTCGATAAAATATGTAGACATGCGCCACAGCTTGAGATGGCCGAGTAAACTACGAATCGATCGATAAGCTTGAAAGCAATATCAGAAAGATTAAGGTTTTCATCTTAAATGGTTTAAATGCAATTAAGGTTATCTTTCCTCCTCAATAACAATCTAGGGAAAATTTCTTTTATAGAACCTCCATGAGAACGGATCAAAATGGATTTCAATTAGCCGAAACAAAAGTCATTTAATTCGAGTTTGACTTATCACTTACCCCTCCAGAGCCGAATAGAGTATTGGAGTCCGAATAGGCGGTGATGTCACAGATGAACCTTCACCAAAGCGATTGATTGGCGTGATACGGTATATCAATGCCAGACCAGGTTCTGCCTTCCTGTCCACAGCACTTGTTGTCCCTCCATAAACTTCTGCGACCTGGCGCCATGGTGACAGTTCACTGAGGGTTGACCGGGCTTCAATGCGGTACCGTAAATCAAGCGGTGGATTAGCTAGCTCTCTAGCTTCGACAAGTTCAGATGATGGTGAAAGTTCAACTAGTAGAGGGTGTTGGTTTGCCGGTTTCCAGGTTATGTGATTTTCGGCCGAAATGGTCGAGTCATTCACGGGCACGCACTGGATTGTAAGGTCTGTGGGCGCTGCAGGAACCAGTTCACTGAGTGGTGGAATCCTGATCCGATTGTAACCATCGACCCACATGGAGCATGTTTCTGTTTCGTTCAGTGCTAACAGCCGATAAATTTGTTCCTCCTTATCCGGCCTTGTATCAAGGATAAAATCCTCACCATAAATCACAGCAGCATCAAGACTAGCCAATTTCCAATCTGTTTGGTTTGTGTTCGGACTGTCCATGGGTGAGCTAGGTTTCGCAGTATATTTTTCAATTCGGTATCTACCATGCGGTTCAGGTGGTTGATCACCTGAGGCTTTCGGTAAGCCCGTGAGTGTGAATTTTTCCCAACTCAGTCCAATTCCTTCTGTGGTACTGAGCGAGCTGATACGTATTAGTAATCTTGAGCACCGATCATTGGCAGACATTACTGGCAACTGGTCCAGTTCTTGTAACACGTCCGTGATCTGCGAAAGTTGCATAGAATCCTTGTCCATTACGGTGCTGTTTTTATATAGTTGCCCGCGGAATAACTGCGAAGCGACCAAACGGCAGGGTTTTGTTGGTCCGCTTTCGCCGTACTTGTTCCAGCAGAATAAGCGAAGTTCAATGGCTTGACTGTTTAGTGCAACAAGACTTCTTGAATCCTTCATGCGCTTAGCATCGTCCTGTAAAGCCAGAACAAGATCTGTAGGAAGACGAAATCCTGCATCGGGGTCCGTCAAGTCATCTGCAAGGGCTTGCCACATTCCAGATCTCCCCCGTCGCCATTCCAGTCGGTACATTGGTTCTAGACCTCTAACACATGATGAGCAGAACTCCGGCATATATGCTGGCTTCCAGTGCACAGTCACCCCCAGCGGTTGCATTTCATATGTGGGACCATCGTCTGACACTGGTCGATTTAAAGATACCCAAGGTGGATTGAAGTCCAAATTCGGAGCTAGTGTATTTGGGTCCAAATGGGCTAAACCGATTGGTGTCGGACTTGACTCGCCAAAGCGGTTAGCCGCCACTACACGAATCGCAGTGCTTGCACCTGGACGCAAGTGATACGTGTAACACTGATTCTTTAGGTTCGTGGCCACGCGTCTCCACTCTGATTGTGCCCCCTCACGAACTTCGACAGCATACCACACCTGACCGAGCATTGCACTTGGACTGATCACGTGCTCCGCCAGTAGCGTATGTTCCATAATGGATGCTGTGGCCTTGGGCCATTTGATTAGGACAGAAGCAGCCTCCTCAAACTCAATATCTGGTTTTACCTGTGGCATTGTTGGGATACAAGCTCGAGCTGGGATTCGAACTGGTGGTGTTGAGGCTGGTCCAGTACCGAATTCGTTCTCTCCAACAACACGAAGTTGAACTGGTTCCAGTGGGGATGCCAATTCCTCTGAAATTGAGGCATGCGTCTCGCGTAAACTTGTGATGATTGGTTTCCACCATTTTCCACCATCCTTGCTCAATTCCACAATGTAAGTTACACCTTCGTCCGACTGTATAGGCTTCCAGCGGAGATCAATATTGGAGACACTCACTGAAGCTAAAGCGACCTCTGGAGCAGTACGAGGTAACGCTGAAAGAAAGAGGTTGGGAACGATTTGGGGTTAGATTTCCACCTGCTTATTACTAAATTGTCTTGCACAGCTTAAAGCATTCTTCATTTGGTAGATTTTCACGAACAGTGTGTAAGATACAGCAGGAATTTTACCAAATNGTGTAAGATACAGGAGTAATCTTACCAAATATTTTCCGCCTGCTCCTTCAAAAATCCTACCAATCATCTGAGTTGGTAGTGTGCAATTCTACATGGTATGTGTGTTACCTATTCTCCACAATTTTGATGAAAATAGTGTGAGAATGCTCGGCCAACCAGGTCTAGTGTCAGTTCTTGAAACGAACTCACACAGCTGTCTCATAGAAGAGGAAGACTCTGGAGTATAGAATTTCAACCATCTTGGTATTACTGGCTTCAACATCCACGGTTCTTGCAAGACAGAATGGGTGTAGATTTATGAGGATGTTACTATTACCTGCCAGAGTTATTCGTTATTCTTCTCAGGACGCATACGCATTCGTGACCTACTGTTTTCGCTGTCCTCGATGGATGTCATTCAATGGATGAGTTCCGAATCCGATCTGGATTGAGGATCGTGCAAACGCAGTGCACTATATCCGTGTTTGCCGCATGGAGATTGTAGTAGCTGCTTCGGTGTGTCCGAGATGTAGGGCGTGTGCGTGTCCGTTTGTCGTCCCGCCATCGATCTGACGTGTGACTTGAGTGGCTGATTGGATGCGTGTCCGATTGGTTGGCTCGCGTGAGCGCTGTGGGTTGACTGGATATGTGACTCAGTTGTTTTGCTTACCTGCCACGAAAGCGGACCATTTGGCCGCGTTTACCCAATACACCCGTGTCCGTACTTACGTGTTCTGACTTCCTGTGAAGTACAATAAAGATGATCCAACGACCATGGTACAGTAGGATGCCCCTTGTCTACACTGAATGATTTTTGAGTCTGTATTATGGCGAGTGAATTTTGACACACAATCATTCTGCAAAATGTTCTACGGGGTGAGAAATCCTACCACCGAATCTTCAGTGTAACCTTCAGGGCGTTTCTGTGGACAAAAATCCCTTGGAAACATAAGAGGAATGATTAATCTACCCAAAGAATGCATTTATGATATTAGAGAAAACCGAAAACTTAGTTATTGGTCGCTGCATTTTACTGCTAAATAGATGCATAGACCGGGATGTATAGGGCAATTCTTATCATTTGATTGATACCGAATTGGTATGCAAATAAGTGTATTCCGCTAATTTCGTGCAATTTGGGTTCAAGTAAAACATAAGTTGCCGGAAACTCGAGAACTGAGCCTACCTGATGAGTATCACGAAACGTGAATCCAACCTTGGACTCTCGGAAAGTTTCCAGGAGCCCTGTGAGACTAATGCCGTAAGTTCACCTACCCAGACGACATACAAGGAAGCACTTAATGATCAGGAGGATTGGATACGAAACCGACTCGAGCCATTTTGTTCCGAAAGTATGCTATGTGCTTTCAATAAATCCATGTTATTCACCGATTTATTGTTACTTTTGATGAAAAACGTAGATGGTCAACTATGGAGACTAAGTCGGAACATTCAAACGAGCCTTATCTGTGCACGAAGATGCTACCACATTTGGCAACGGAGACAATGATATTTAGTTCAAGTGCATCTGAACCGCATACTCCATATTCTCCATATCTGCAAATGCAGCTATTTTAATCCCATTACAAGGCCCTTGGATCTTGCGCTCTCTTCTAGATCTTCGCGTTCATCAGCGTCCGACGGTCGAATATCAGAGTACTGGAAGCAGAAGCTTTTGCACACGAACACCGCTTCGCGCTGAGCACCACTCGAAGATCCTGTTTATCCCAGGCGCATTTCGAGTTAATAAGATTGTGCGCCGAATTTAGGTAGACAGCCCCGGGCGTACGGTGGTTCCAGTTAGAGCGACACTTGTGCAGTCGTTGTATAGACGGACCTGTTGTAGATGCGCAATCCTGAGCTCACTACAATAGGTGAATTTCGTTTTACTTACAGGAAAGGCATTAAGAAGAATGGACTACACCGAATAAAACATAGGAAAGTACATATGTTTGTTTTCACTTCCTCGATGCGCACAAGTAAATATTGAGGAGATAAGAGTCAAGAAACATAGCACTCACCAGTTCTCTTCGATCCTCCAATTTCTTTGCGTCCTTCAAGAGAACCTGCAGCATCAAACTCGTCCCCCAGAGGTACATAGCGATCAGTGTCTGGTGGGAGTTTTTTGAAGAAGATAACATTTTGATTTTTATTTCAGAATAGTTGGCTGTAGTGATAAAACTCTGTGGCTCTTAAACTGTGGCTCTTAAAATACTCTCGATTCCATCCCTCAAAATGATAGTGATTAGCAGTAGTACGTGGTACGTACGCATTCAACATGGTTGCTATTTAATAGACCTACCTAATGAACGGAAGCCAGGTCTTACCGCCTGATGCTCCAACGAAATGGTCAAAGCGGTTGAACATACGACCACAGTAAGGTTATCTGTACCCTCTAGCAATAGAACCATAGGGTGGGTCAACTTTGGTGTCCTCCAGTTTACGTATTATTTGTGTGGTGAGACAATATTGCATGGGGCTATCACTTAAACCGTCAAATAAAGTAAGTAAATTTGTTGAGGTTGGCGTGCATACCCGTAGGCAACTTTGCCATACACACCATAAGTTGTGTGCACATATTAAAGGGGTGCTTTAGAAAATACCACTGAATATTGTATCAAACGCTAATGCTACTCAGGACCAGCCCACGAAAAATCAATCCGTTGCTGTTACGTATCCTTCAGTGACATTCCGCCATCTGACGAGCTTGTTTGCATATGGAATAGTCTCATCGCGAGCAACGCAATAGCCAGCGAAAAATGAAAAAGTCGTAAAATTGTTACTGGTTTACACCGAAAAACAAATGAATTGTCATTAGCTATTAAAACAGAGACATCTTTTGTTTGCATACGCCGAAAACGTAATCTGAGTTTCAAGCGATCAGCTTTTTTCTTGTTCTCATGTCGTAAAATAATTCAGAGAGTATACAACTTATTGATAGAACTGGAGAAATAGCTTTGAACTTTGGGGCCAAAGGCTACTGCTGAAGAAGTGCAAAGACCGCTTTAGCAGCCCCACTTCGGGAGCATATAAATGAAGTATCTGAATTATTTTTGTGAGACGTCCGCAGTTCACACACGTATTTCTGTCGCAGTCTGCCTTGGGAGGCAATTGTAATTACAGCTACAAGAAAATCTTTTGAAAACTGCTACTCTGTAATGTAATTGCATACAAGAGCCTACGACGATATTCATAACAAACCTGTGTAGTCGCAAATTACAAGCGGTAGGAAGTACATAGCGTTTCTTATTAGTTCTACGATACCAGCCTGTGCGCCAGAGGGCGAGCTAAGTTGAGCGAGCTGTACAAAGGTACATTAAGAACGCTCCGTATTACACTCATCTGTACTGAATACCAAGTGAATATCTTGTTTATGACACTTTTCAACTGAGTGTGCTTCACGAAGGCGTCCTCATGTTTCAATTGATAAGATATTTGCTGTATAGATGTGTGTTTTCATGAAGTAAACCACTTACAAGGTTGATGGAAACACTTAAACAGCCAACGACCGGTTTCGCCTTACTTGAAGCTCGTCAGGTGGGCGCGGTCCACGGTTTTCACTCAACCTAGTATTTCGCTTGAACCCAAAGTGTACGGAATTCTCCAAGTACAACTATTTACACACCACCTTTATTCTAAGGGGAAACTCAATCGAAAAGCGGCTTTTAAAATGAATGTGCACCATTTACCATGAATCTGTATGTACCATGTTTCATTTGGTACCGTACTCGAGATATCTTGAAGGAAAATAAACTGGTGTGTATTTCGTGAATTTCATGTAATTTGTCTTTAAGTGGAGCATAAGGTTGATAAAGACTCTCGGAGTGCGCCTACCTGATGAACCCCAAGAAGTACAAACGTGGTCATGGACTTCCAGCAACCTTGTGAGTAGTTTCTTCCCATAAAACCTTCTGCATTGTTCGCTTGTAAGCCCCCAAAATATCCAGCCTAACAAACTGGGAAGTCCAATCTTCTCGCGAATCATTTATTACTACGTTTAACCACTTGAACAGAAGCAATAGCTGCATGTCTTCGAGAGAGAGAGAGATGTGCGCTCCTCGAGAACAATAATTTATTACATTTTAAAACTACCGGTTAACATTGAACCTTTGAAATTTCGACAGTATGCACTCGTTAAACGGCCAGTGAAATCCCAGTCAACCTATGAATAACTCGTTCCAATTGCAACCATCGATCGTTGAAGCAACTTGTCCGTTGACTAATGACTACCAGCCCAGCCTAGGTGTATCAAAAACACAAAACTCACCATGGACTTGCAGTACACCCTCTGTGTCCACGCGTCCCAAAGCGTTTGTCGCGATGCAACAATATCGTCCACGATCTTCTGGCCTAGCATGTCGAATAGTGAGCGATGGGTTGGCATCGTCGTTGAACAACTTGATTCGATGATCACCCGTCACAATATTACCGTTGTGTTTCCTTACAGATGGACGTATAACAATAGAAAAATTGCATGAGTACTAGAATAAAAAGTAAAACCGGCAGCTAAATAGTTATTCCGTTTTTCATGAGGTAAAGTCAACGCCAAAATTGACAACGTTCTCGTGGCTGCATGCGTACATATAAATTTGCACCGCCTTTGTCGTGAATGCTCTTCTCTAAAACTGACACAGTCTTGTTCATCGTGCGCACAAAATTTAAAATAACAGCAAAGTACATCTACCTGAAGATAAAGGCTATGGAGTACCCACATTTCACCTTTATCTCTGCAGCTGCAATAACAAAAACCATCAATTTTATATTGCAATTAGGAATAAGTAACAATAAATCAGTTGGACGTAGCCAATCGTATGGTGGGTCAATCAGGTCCCCTTCGAGGCGAAGTGACAGCTTGTGTCAAGGTCCTTTGTACGCACCAGCTGTGTCGGTTCGGTCACAGTGAAAGCTAATCATTGTGACCTGACATTGAGGAGTAAATTCTGAACAGCGCCATAGTTTCAGCGAATAGAAAGTTTTTGGTGATCAATGAGACGGGTTTTCGGGTCTCAGATTGAAGGTCCTCGATTGATCGGCTAGTCATCTGACTCAACTGGTGAGGTGACTTTTCTGAAGCACGTCCGCGTAGGCTTGTATCCGTTCTGCTATTTTGTATATCACCGTAACTGCATGGGAGCTGGTAGACAATGCGTGTGGTAGGGGGACTAGGACCAACCCGCGGTTCACATCGGAGATTGACTTGTCTGGTTGGTGAGATTAGGATTAGTTGGACGGCTGGGTACGTAAGACCGGGTACAGTACGTAATTCGTATCGTATGGCTGTGTTTAGGCGATCTCCATTAAACTGCAGTCTGATAGGTAGGCTTTCTTTTTTCAATACGTAGTCAGACTCCCGCTTATGACGTGGCGTCTGTGGACGTTGATAGATTTCTCTGGGTAACCGTTAGAGGTGTATCTTCTTCAAGGGTCAAAACTGCAGATACGTCTGGATCACTATTCCTCCAGGGGATGCCGAATGATTTAGCTTCGTAGAAGATGGAATAGAATTCACAAAGACAGACTTACCACACAATGACTGCTGGCGGTTCTGCCATAACACGTGCAGTAAAGCGTACGCAGTCACCGACATCAACTTCGTAGTCCTGTAGTCGTTTGGTGAACAATGGCTTTAATCCATCAGCAGAACTGAAAGGTCAAGATCGGATTAATATGATGGTGATGATGAATAATGATGATGACCAATCTTGGGGATAAAATTTCGCAAAGTTGGGTGCAGAGCACTTTTCATTTTCAACATAACGATGACAACGAATTGTCTCCGGTTACCGAATCACACTCCACCGCATTGTGAAGCCTATTTAGTGATGTAATATGAAAGACCAGAAATCATTGGCACAAACTATTTGCTACTGGAAAGCAAAGGTCCTCTTGGTGGAAAATACACCGATTTGGTAGAGTAACCCAAACGTTCGAAGTCTTGGAGCTATCCTTAATTCTTCTTACAACTAATGTGCACGTTGAAGTAGTTCCACACTGTATGGTACTCTCCTCTGAGAAATTCATTTTCGAGGAACTGGGTTTTTCGTGAGGGCTGCTGACCAGTTACAATAAAATCTGACCGAATCGGTTTACTAAATGAGGCACCAACCGTTAATTAGATTAATTATCAAAATTTATGAGACTGGAAAATTCTGAACAACATAGCAGCATTTTAGCAAAATGCTAAATGCGTTCATTGTCACACAAAGACTGTGTCGCTGTTTGGTACAAGTCATCAACAGCAACAGCAATTTTAAGCTACTGTCTTTTTGATGCTTCCTAAGGTCTTTTTGCCCGTCAATCCTTTTCGAAACTTTCCCTGTAAACTTTTATCTTTTTTCGTCAATAAATAACTAGTGTTATTCGTACATAATAAATAACAGGCTATTCCAATAACCCACGGTTGCATACGAAATGTTGGAGGATTGACACAGCTTCGAGCGTCAGAATGATCATAAATTCACTACATAACTTGTAATGGGTGTGTTGATACAACCTTCACATGGTTGTTATCGTCCTATTACCTTTATTAAAGGAGTCATACACAAACACTAATTTCAGTCTTCAATCCCAATTTTTCCGACTTGTTGAGAGACTGTATGTTTTAGCCCGAATGTTGATAATGCTCTATTACCGTTTGGGTTCAATTAATGAATCAAACGAAAAGTGCGTAGAACTACATCACTAGGACACTTGTTAGGCAGACTGGAATGCTACAGGAAGATGGCTGACAGGCACTGTTGCATTTTGACTGGTTGTTGGACTTCAGATATCAGCTGCACGCGTGTGGTGTATATCATTCCGAATAACATAGATATCGGTATTCATTTCTGCAACTATGCTTAAAATCCGAGAGGCGTGCAGCTGTTAAATCCTTATTTGGGATTACTAATGTCCACGAGTCTGTGTTGAGTTTTAAGCCCACAGCCTTCCGATAAAGAATTCAAACCCTCTGCCATCCATCCACGGACGTCTCATTAGCTGTCTGACTGCCCTGCAAGGTATAAAACACCACTAATGATTCCATCACACCATATGATTGTTTGCTTGTTCTTCTGACGCAGTCTTCGTAAATATCCCATAGTTCGAAATTACAATCAGGGTTTCATCCTATACAGGAATTCTGCTTGTGAAAGGCACGTCCGTATAGAGTGGAATGAGCCGCGACTGCGTGCATTCTACAACTTCAGGAAGCAAGAAATATACCGAAGCGTGCCGTTCTCCTCGCGACCACTTAGGCTCTGTGGGATAAATTTGAGTACTCTATTTCCAGATCATAGTTCACGCTGATGCCCGAATGTATTTAAACATAGTAAGATACAATCGCTTTGAACCATAACCTCACAAATTGTGTTACAAAAAATTCAACATACGTGAGCTTATAGCTGGAGGTTTTTGCTCTCGATGGCTCCACAATCAGTTCGGTGCTAGTCGTATACAAGTCTTGTTCACCAAAGACACGTAACTCGTATATGCCGGCCAAATCGCGCCGCATTCTTGGAATTGTGAGTGCAAGCAAGTTGTCCGCACGCCATATCGTGTAGTCCGAAGTAAATTCTGGCTGCAATTTTTTTCAGAAATAATAGAACAGTTGGAGTAACTATCATCGCTGTCGTCATGTGATGAGTGTACATGTTCAACGATAAGTTAATTACTCCCAAAATGTTATATAAAGACAAACCATCCTAGGCTTTAGATTAGCAAAAACGCTACGGATTTTCCAGCACTGAGAGCTCACCGTTTGCATTAGGATTGAGTGAACACTTGTAGTTATGCCCTTATGCAGTATCGCCTATAGAATTGGTGGGGCAGATAATCAACTTCCAGGGGTTTGGACTGGAAAACCTGCAGTACCATTTATATGTCCACTTACCTCAGCTAATTAGCTCAAATTGAAATCCCTTTTTTGTCCATCAGACGTTCGCTTATTGAGATACCTGGAATTCACCATTGAAACACTGGGGAAAGACGCATCTGAGAACTCAGTAATAGTTCAGTGAAAAACCGAACCACAAAATTTAACCATCACCAATCCACACCAAATGACCCTTTCCCTAAAATTTCGTTTGCCATTTCGGACTAATCACCTTTAGAGAAATCAGCTGAAACTCCACCACAAAAAAATAGCCGCGTGTACGCCTGTATTACTTCATGTTATGAACTCGACATTTAGTCCACAGCTCTCAGGGAATGGCAGTTGGGATGTTTACTAATGTGGCAGCCTAAAGGGTATAAGTATTCGCAGGATTCACGCGTGTGTGTGACACCTGCGGTTAGTTTTCTGTTGTACTGAGTCCCACTGAGATAGGTGCACTTATGTGCCCGCTATGCGGAAGCCGGCGCGCTAGCTCCGATGTCTGTGTCAACATGAAAGACAACTGACGTTGGTAATTGTAATCATGATTCTTACGTTGGTTCGTGGTTTTCAGAGGTCGTGTACAAATTTCCCCGGCTTCACATTAGCTTCATCAGCTTCGAAGTGAAACCACATTCAACCCTGCGCAAAACTACTGTGTTTTATCAGCTGTACAGGCATCCGTTGGTTTAACCAGTGTTTTCCCCGGGTATCAAAGATTCTATCTACTTCCGGACTTCCTTATTCTGAATGGTATTATTGAAACCCTTGAGGAAGAACCTTTGTTTCCCACAATTTGGGGTCGCATGGTAGAGAGGGAAATACGGATGCAGCTTGCCTAGAACTACTTAGTATTTCCGAATAAAGGTGTCAGAACTGGTTTATTGTACGGTCCAACTGATAGTTCCCTGGAAGGAAACTTACCAGTATTGGCTTTCCGTTCACAAGCCATTCGTGACCAAATATTTCATGATTTCTACCAAGTCGAGCTTCTAGTTTAGCATGTTCTCCCTCTTTGATTGACGTGGACGGCGGTAATTCTCTATCAAAAGCGGACGGTCGACAGTTGGATGGCTGCCATCTTTCCGAGTAGCCCATAGCTTGCGATGTTTGTTGTTTTTTGAGAATAACCAATGGTGGGAACACCAGTGCTTTAGACAAGTCGCCCATAGGAAGATTAGCTGGGACATTATCTTGGATGCGTTTTCGCGCATTGTCTGAAAAGCGTATACTGTATATTCCTTCATGCTCCGGCTGGATGTTTGGAATAACCAGGGAAACGTGCCCTTGGTTTGGATCTGTATCAACTCGCACCAGTGGTCCCGCACTACTGACCGCCTTCCCATCTACCAACCACTGAAAGTCATTTTCATCGTAGTCTAGACCAAACGTTGGAAATCGTGCGACGAGCTCCACATTCGAACCCTCAATAATTGGTGTGGATAGGTCGGTGCATCGCAGTTTCTCAAATTCGAATGGGATAGTGGCTGGTATGTCCTTCGAACGCTTCACCTTGTCACGGGCACGCTTCTTGAGCTTAACGGGGACGTCCACAGTTGCCAAAGGTCCAAGTGCTTCATCTGCATTGCCCTCTGAAACGGACGGTGTCAATAATAAAAGCTTGTAAGAGGACGCATAAGGATGTTATGGAAGGAAACGTGAATTCCTTTATACACTAACATGCACATGCTCATGCTCTACGACTAGCATGTGTGGAATTGTGACATAATGGATGATGACAGCAAAGGCAATAAAATAAGTGCACTCCTGGTCGATACAAGTCAGCATGCATCGTGCCATTGGAACAAACTTCCCTGGGATCCAATGTGATGATCGACCGAAGTCAGGAGTTGATTCATCTAGCACTTATGGCTGAACGAATGGTTCTCGTACATTGTTTTGCATCACAATTATCTTTCTCTAGTTGTGCAAATGATCTCGTGGTTTAAAACATCCTCTGGGAACAAACGGTACCTCGCGGATTTAGCACAACGCGTTTCTAAGAGAGGAATGAATGAAAACAGCAGGTGTTCTATGCGAACAGCCACTTATCTTAGTCCCAACTGGACCAACTTTGTCCCAAGCGCTAGGATATCAGACAACTATTGCAAAGGAGAAATCTATTCGCCCAATAGTAGAGCTCTGATGAAAACATGTGTGCACAGCTGCCCTTGATCGTGACAGCTGTGTGCGACTGTGAGAGTGTGGAGCCATCTCTCTCAGTTGGTCTACCAGATGGACAAAAATGGGGGAGCTATGTTGAGTGTGAAGCAGGCATTCCGCCATCCACCTCAGAAAACGGGCTTAGCTACCATGAACTGTCTATGCTATGCCATGTTTATGCTATCTGTATTGTGATGCAGGCGACTGGCACGCGACTGTTCGGTTCTCTCAATCGTGTGATGGACTGGTGGCAAAAGACGACAGATGAAATCAATGAATAGCGTGGCTGGTGCAATTCGAACTTGGGCAACAAACCACACTGTCTTTGACAGATGGGGATGAACGTTGATCTAATGAGTTGGCGAATTAAGTACAAACTGAACCGCCACATGCAACATATACGAATGAGCGACCGATTTTAGTCGACATGGAACACTCGGGAAGGTCCGCACCTGTCAAGTAAACATTGAAATTCGTAAACCTATTTACGAAGACTGGCAGTTCGCACACTTGCACTCCAGGTTGTCATATTTCGGAATCGTGATTCCCTACAGTTTAGAGAAGTATACAGCGAGCATTCCAGCCTATTCCTTCAGAATGTATTCAATCCAATGCATGACTTGAAAATTGCGCAGATAAATGGTTTAACCAAGTGCACCAGAACCACTGTTGGTTATCCTCCCCTTAGCCTGATCAATAATGCCTAGTACTAACCGAATAACGCTTGGTAAAACAGGCTCTTTTGGTCAGCACGGACGAGCAAAAATTGCACGCACAGATAACTCCAAAAGTGAGCCTGGCCGTAAAATATTGTGCTATTCGATTTGATCAAACCAGCTTTAAAATATTATGATGAGTTACTCAGTAGTGTTCATTGCAGCGACAGGATAAAGCAAGGTCAATCAGTGGCTTTGAAAATCCTTGAAGTTTTTGCGATGACCATTCGCGCCTTGAAAACAGTGTTGCTCTGTTAGTTCCTATCCAACTACATCTGGACACGACCACGGTGTCCATTGTATGCACTCTTGGTTTGGGTCGTTGTTCCATGTAGAGCACCCTATTCTACTTTCGCTCTACTTGGTTTCGCTTTAAAAGACAACCACTATAACGTGATTCTGGGCCACGAGTAGAAGAAAATGAGGTATTTTATCCCCGCTCCTCCAAAAAAGATAGCTTTAAGTGGCAATATAATGGAAAGGCATTCTTTGCCAGATGGCGCTGTGGGTCAAAGCTTCGTGACATAAAAACCCTAGCAAAGCATTTGTCACCCCGATTAAACTGACTTAGACTTTTCTTCCAAAAATTTATTTCCCACGTAACGTGTCCGGTTCATTAGTTTGACGGGAATGATCAAAATTAGCTGCTGCTTTACAATGCACTTGTTACCTACATGATCGAAGAAGATCGAACGATGCATTGGTACACATGTATCTTCACCGACACCTTTAGATGGAAACTTGGCTCGGATCCGGGCACCTACTGAAAAGTGCTATTCTTGCGTATTATCCAGACAGTCCATCGACGAACTGCATATCCCTATGAGGTCTAAAAGTCTTCTGAAATTGTGAAAAGTTAGAATAATTACCTATGGTTCAAAAGCCGCTCAAACAATGACAACAACTTTAAAGCAGACACCTACCACATTAGCATTCCAATACCGATGGAATTGGTGCTTACACCATTGTGTAGTTGGTGGTTTACACGGATGACACATTGAGGCCCCTCACATTTGGCTGGTGATCCAATATGCATTCAAAGTTCTACTGCTTCAGCCCAAGCAAATATATGCGTTACATGCAGTGGAGCCTCTGTTTGACAATGAATTCGTTAGCGATCGTCATGCATCCGTTCTCAGTGGACTGGATAGCAAGTACATCTAGTAAATTTGGTCAACAGGCAAATATAACCTTTTTTCGAGAACAACTGCGGGAATAACCGCTGGCAAACAAGTGTAGTCATTAGCTTAAACGAAGTAAGATACATATTTTGTCCGTTCCAAGGAACGCAATCCGTCACAACTCACCTAAGTCAACTATTTTCAGATGATAAATACCCGTATCCGCCTCAGTCAGATTCCTGATATACAGCGTTGCCGATGGCATGTGACACACATCAACTACTCCATTCTGACCGTTTGTACCGGGAGGTAGTAATTCATCCTCCGTGATGAGCTCATCGTTTAAGTACCAACTTAACTTTAGTGGTATGTTTGGAAGGTCTGTGACACTAATCTTGAAAGAATGACCTTTGACTGCACTCAACAAACTCTGTCCGGACAAAGCCACAGCTTCAGCAAGCGGAATACAGATAGAATCATCGGTTTGCTGAACATGCTCCTCAGCTCGTTCCAATTCAGATGTTTTATGCTCTATCGTGAACAGCAGAGGCCTGCTGTCCGCCTCCTGTCCAATTGTCTTGATGTATTCATTTTCCGCTCCACTTCTTGTTTCATCTTCGCCTTTCATTTCATGTGATGTGACTATGTCCACCGACTCCCGGTGTGGAGCAATATCTGGTTTCTCCTCTAACCTCCGAAACGTCGTTTCCTCTAGGTGATCTTTCACAGCTTCAGCTTGGTTTCCTTGCTGGGTGACAACCTCCAGCTGGTCAACTCTTCCCTTGGATGGTTTTCGATTGCCAACCTTCTTCTCATGAGTATCAACATCCGTTCTACGTTTACGGTCCTTTCTCTTTTCTATAGTTTCTTCACCAAGCTGACCTTTGGCTAACGTCGTAGCTTCTTTCACAGAATCGGCCTCAAATGTTTTAAAGTAAACTTTGTCAGCTGGAACGTCGGAATCATCCGACGGTAGCCCGGTTATCTGCGCATTTGACAATGCGGCGAACTCCATTCCACGTGAATCAGACATATTCATGCTCGCGGCGTCAGACTTTTCTGAATGCTTTTTCTCTTTTTGCTTTCGTGATTCGTATTTCTTCCTATTAAATTCTTCGTCTTCAAAATCAGGCTCTTCCATTTCTTCTTCCAGAACATCCGTGAGGTTCTTCTGCTTCGGCGATTCAAAAACATCTGCACCACGCTCGAAATCAACAATATCAAAGCCTTCAACAACAACTCCCTCAGTGCGCGCAGAACTTGAAATTTTACTTTGCGCTTCCTCCTGCGACATTATTTCTGTTTTTTGCTCATCCATGTGTTTCTCAACCGTTTCATTGATTTTGCGCTTACACTCCTCCGCCAGTTTTACCTTCTCCTCCTTAGCCTTCCGCTTCTTCCCTTTAGTCTCAAGTTTCGTTTTCTCCTCCTGCTCCGCCGCCTTACTCTTCCTCTCTTCCTCCTCAGCCTTCCGATTCTTCTCCTCCTCCTCCTCCTCCTCCGCATTACGCTTCTTCTTCTCCTCCTCCTCCGCGTTACGCTTTTTCTCCTCAGCCCTCCGCTTTTTCTCTTCTTCCTCCGCTTTACGCTTTTTCTCCTCCTCCTCTGCTTTACGCTTCCTCTCCTCCTCCTCCGCGTTACGCTTTTTCTCCTCAGCCCTCCGCTTTTTCTCTTCTTCCTCCGCTTTACGCTTTTTCTCCTCCTCCTCTGCTTTACGCTTCCTCTCCTCCTCCTCCGCGTTACGCTTTTTCTCCTCAGCCCTCCGCTTTTTCTCTTCTTCCTCCGCTTTACGCTTTTTCTCCTCCTCCTCTGCTTTACGCTTCCTCTCCTCCTCCTCCGCGTTACGCTTTTTCTCCTCAGCCCTCCGCTTTTTCTCTTCTTCCTCCGCTTTACGCTTTTTCTCCTCCTCCTCTGCCTTCCGCTTCCTCTCTTCCTCCTCCGCCTTCCGCTTCCTCTCTTCCTCCTCCACCTTGCGCTTCTCCTCCTCCAACTTACGCTTCTTTTCTTCCTCAGCATTCCGCATATTCTCTTCTTCCTTTGCCTTCCGCTTCTTCTCCTCCTCTGCCTTCCGCTTCTCCTCTTCCTCCTCAGCCTTCCGCTTCTTCTCCTCCGCTTTACGCTTTTTCTCCTCCTCCTCTGCTTTACGCTTCCTCTCCTCCTCCTCCGCGTTACGCTTTTTCTCCTCAGCCCTCCGCTTTTTCTCTTCTTCCTCCGCTTTACGCTTTTTCTCCTCCTCCTCTGCTTTACGCTTCCTCTCCTCCTCCTCCGCGTTACGCTTTTTCTCCTCAGCCCTCCGCTTTTTCTCTTCTTCCTCCGCTTTACGCTTTTTCTCCTCCTCCTCCTCAGCCTTCCGCCTCTTCTCTTCTTCCTCTACCTTCCGCTTCTTCTCCTCCTCCGCTTTACGCTTTTTCTCCTCCTCCTCTGCTTTACGCTTCTTCTCCTCCTCCGCTTTACGCTTTTTCTCCTCCTCCTCTGCTTTACGCTTCTTCTCCTCCTCCGCTTTACGCTTTTTCTCCTCCTCCTCTGCTTTACGCTTCTTCTCCTCCTCCGCTTTACGCTTTTTCTCCTCCTCATCCGCCTTCCGCTTCTCCTCCTCCGCCTTACGCTTCTCCTCTTCCTCCTCCGCCTTACGCTTCTTCTCTTCTTCCATTAGTTTCGCTTTCTCCTCCTCCTGCGCCTTCCGCTTCTTCTCCTCCTCAGCCTTCCGCTTCTCCTCTTCCTCCTCCACGCTACGCTTCTTCTCTTCCTCCTCAGCCTTTCGCCTCGTCTCTTCTTCCATTAGTTTCACCATCTCCTCCTCTTCTGCCTTCCGCTTCTTCTCTTCTTCCTCGGCCTTACGCTTTTTCTCCTCCTCCTCCGACTTCCGCTTCTTTTCCTCCTCCGTCTTACGCTTCTTTTCTTCGTCCTCCAGTTTCGCCTTCATCTCATCCTCTTCTGCCTTTTGCTTCTTTTCCTCCTCCAGTTTCGCTTTCTCCTCCTCCTCGGCCTCGTTTTTCCTCTCTTCTTCTTTAACCTTTCGCTCCCACTGAATCCCTCCAGCCTCACACCTCCTCTCCTCTTCTAATTTTGCTTCCTCTCCTTCTTCAACCCTAGTACCTCCGGTTTCCAAATCTCTTGCTTCACTTTTCCTTTCGTCCATTTTAGCGTAATCATGTCGATCATTCTCCTTTTGCCTCAACTGTGTTGTTATAGCCAACTCTTCATCGCCTCCGAGGGTTTTATCATCTAGGGTTTTCTCCTCCTCGCGCTTTGCTTCTTCTTCAAACCCTTCATCCTTGTTGCGCTCCACTTCTTCTTTGACGCTTGTGGTCTCCTCTTCATTGTGGAGTTTCCTTTCTCCATCCATGACGATCACCTCTCCATAACCACCACGGATTGTCTCGACTTCTTCACTTTCGGTAAGCTTATTACCATTCTTGCTTCTTCTGTCTGCTACTGGAGCCGACGCTTCTTTTTTTCCGTGCTTACCTTCATCACTTTCACCTCCAATACTCATCTCAGTATTATCCAGTTCCTTCTCGTCTTCAAGTGTTTCGTCCGCCAATTGCCTCATTTCCCTGTTGTCACAATATATATCCTCCTCTTCTCTTTGTGGTTCTATTTCCCCTTCAGTTAGCGCCCACTCGCTTTCGGTTGCAACTTGTTTCCCCACGTATTGCCCGTCTTCACTCATTTGGATCATTGCAACGTCTTCCGTCATTTGTTTCAGCTGCGCCAAGACGAAAAGCTTTTCCTCTTCCTGCCGATTCCTTTCTTCAGCTCTAAACTGTTCCTCTTCCGCTTTTCGCTTCTGCTCTTCTTCAGCACAGGTTCGGTCTTCTGTTTCTAGTTTTGACCCATCACTGCATTTTACATCTTCATCTTCGTTCCTGTTTTCCGATATGGAAGTCTCTTTCTGTTTTAAAGTTTTGTCCGATTCCTTAGCCCTCACAGTTTCAGTTTCCTGCTGCCACTGTTCTCCGTTGTATGGTCCATCCTCTACTACTTCATGCGTCTGTTCCAACGCATTAATAAGCCTGTCGTCTCTAGCTTCTTCGGTGAACATCCATCCCTCATTTTGACGATCGTCGTAAGCAGTGCTCAGATTTTCCTTGCCACTCTTCTCAGAAATTTCTTCATTTTTCTTTGTACTTTCTTCAAAGCTATCCCCTTTATGCACAAGATCCTGGTCACGATAGCTGCTTTGCTCCTCTACTGGTTTGCTCCATTCAGAATCATCCGCATCCACAGTGTGCTGTGGTTGTTTCTGATCACTGTACCCGAACTCTTCCTCGAGATTCGGGGTCTCTGTTAACTGCACATGTTGCTGCTCATCTTCATCCGTTTCCCCGCAAACTTCTGATTGTTTCAATTCGAGATGATTTTGTACGTCACTCTGTTCTTCCAGGGATTCATCCGTTTGCTCGGTTAGGAAGACTTCCTCGTTTAGGGATTCCTGTCCAAACTGACTTAATTCATCCTCTAGCTGAGACCTGATTTCACTGTCCAACTCACTATCAGACTCAAGAATATCTACAGCATACTCAATACATTTTTGACCGTTTTTCTTCTCCCCAGCATCGCTAACCCAACATGTGTACAATCCAACATCATCCTTCTCTGCAGTTGGCTTTACAAGCTTGATTGTTTGGTTGTTCTTGTTCAAAAGACATTTGAAATCCTTCACGTTATCCATATCGAAATTCCTACTAGCTATTATTTCGTCGTTATGGGTCCACCAGATTGCCAAATCATCATTGGCTGATTGCAGATCAAACGGCGCGACAAGATGGAATCGTTGGCCCTGAATCAGCTGGATGTCTATAAGGTCACTTATACTGACCGCTTTCGGCAAGGATTCATAAGTTGGTGGTACCAGCGACGCAACAGGTGCGAATCCACTCGCCAGTTCTTCTTGTGTCGGCTCGTGGAAGTGTACGATTATCGAAGTACTTAACTGAATAGCTTCACTGTATTCATTGGGCAGACGAAGAACACACTTATATTCAGATTGCTGATCAGGCATAAAGTTTGTTGTCACTGTTTGCAGCGTAGCCATTGCTTCTTTTTGACTCATTATGCAGTTGGAGCTTGGTTGCAACAGCACGTCGTCGTGATACCAGTCTACAAGAACGGGCTGCACTGCTTTCTTGTCCTTTATCCCTTTGAAGTTACAAATCACAGATGCCAGAACGTCACGTTGAACCTCCACTGCCAGTTCTAGGACTTGGCCGATAGGTATATCGAGTTGGCGGGCTACTGGAGTCAGTACTACCGCCGGCGATATGCTCTCTCGGTATGCCGGTTCTCTAACCTCACTAACCGTGACTTGTTGTTCTGCCTGCTCTTCGTCGTCTTCACTTAGTTCCGGTTCTTTGGGTACTACATTGACATAAAAGTACACCGCTGTTTGAGTACCATCGAACAAACGGCATCGGCATGCATACGTTCCTGAATGTACCGCGGGATCGGCATGTCCTATGAGAAGCCGCGTATCTGTGTCCGATAGAATCATATCTGCATCAATTGTTGGTGGAATTGGCAAACCATTCATCATCCATGTTACCTCATATGCAATAGGACCGGAAATTGTGAAAGAAGCGTTGAACTGGATCTGTTCGCCAGCGCCTACAGTAAGGGTTTTCACCACTGCTCCTGGTGGTGCATCCAGCGGCATACTGTCTTCTTTATCTGTAGCCGAAGAACAGGAATCATGGACGAAAAACTAGTCAAGCACGGGGTAAATACTGCATTGTTAACTATCACTGAATAGGGTGAACTTTGAGAATCAATATTGGTTATCTCCACTAGGCGTTGACAGACAGGTATGTTGATAACTGAGGTATCTTGGAATTGAAATCTCATGAGTGTTGTTGATTTCCGTGTTAAACTATTGCTTATCTATTCTGAGTTTCAAAAATATGCTTTTCAGTAGTATAGAACCACTCAGAATTTTATGTACGATAATGCAAACATTCGGCATCTGTAGGGGCAACAAAAACGAACAGAAAGAACGTCCGTGAATGCGACACACTTTAGGAAAGCACATATCATTAAGTTGCAGAGCAAGCCGAGGCTTTTTTTATTAGGTCCAAAAGTGATCCTTACAATTCCCAATCCTAAGAACTATTCACCAGATAACGAATGCAAGGGGACCAGAGACGACAACCGCAATAATAAGTATTGAGTAAACACGGCCATTTGGTTGGCTTAAGTCCACGAACAGCACTGATGGTCTGGCACTGCTGATGCACAGACTCTTGTTTGACACATTATCCTGAGCTGACTGCACTATGCTGGAGCCATGGATTTTAGTCAGAATGGATCGTTCGGAGAACGGTTACTCTCTTGAAGTGCCCGCAGTTTTCCTTGGCCTAGTGGGTGATCGCTCCGAGGGAAAGTGACCTCCAGACAATTCCTCTCTCTTCTGAATCAAACTATGTACAGAGGAAAAATATCGACGTAATATGCTATAACACTGGTGTAAGACAACTGATGTGTATGTAACTGATACCTTGACGGATACCTTGATTGCCATGTCACAAATACCAACTGGACAGATTTAAAGACCTGGAGTCGCAACCAGTTCTTTTTTAAAGAAAGTCGTTTATAATGTCCTTCAACTGAATATGCTGTCTCATGTTTCAGTAGGTATGACACTCGAGATATCCCAGTATGACTTCCTTATTTAGTTGCATAGATCAACACGTCCTAAGTTTTGGTCACTTCATTTAAAATTAGAGACCGCGTTCAATGCTTGCCTCTTGGACCGATGGTATGGCATCAGCATACCAAATACTTGGAGACGCATAAAGGGTTGGTTACCGTGATTCATTCGTTACGATAACCATAATGCCCACCATTTTACCGATAATTTCCTTTGAATGGAAATCCTGTAACTATCTCGGCGCTCTCAGAAGTTTGCACTGTGATGTTCCTAAGGGGCAGTAAATATGAGTTGCGCGCCAATAAGTTTCATTTGGTCATATTTGAACAAGATTTGGAGTGATTTTGGCCACTTGTTCACTAAGGGCCACTTTTGACTTTGTCACATCAGCCACCATGTACCTTAGGCCCAGGTTCCTTAAGTAGAGCAGAGCACGTTTTTCGTTTGCCCTAGTCGGTCAATACAACCAAAATCACCTCGTCAGTCGCCGACACAAGCGCACAGCTAACTGGTTGGCGCTGTGCTCCTGAAACCGTGAAATGGACTTTATGCCTGAAATTCCGACGGATGAACCGTTCCATGTATTGGAAGGTCTCGAAATCAAACTAACCTGGCGACACCAGACGCGTGAGTCGCAAGAATCGCGTGACGTACCGCGAGGCTGTTGTCAAGCCCGTTTCCAATCCCGACCGTCAACTATGGTAATGCCGCCGAGTGAGGTCTGCCAACGCGGCCTTGATGTGTCTGAAACAGATCCGGTACACCTCACCCAAACAGGGTGAGCTGGACACTTACCAGATAGAAATGACACAACTGATGGGCCTGTGAGTATTGCAAGACCAGACCGACGTGGTCATGGCGCATCGGAACGAGTGACAAGCAGACGAAGTACTTGAGAGCAGTATCAAGCCCCATTGTGATCTGGTTCAATCTGGGCTACCGAGCGCAGGTAGACCGGTCACAATAGCGTTGGGGCTATACGCAAGCCCAGCGTAATCACCGACGTGATGCAAGCTCTGTAACCTGTGTTAAAGTATCAATACACTGGATGTAGAACATGGGCAGCGCATCCCTATGGGCAGATTTCCCACATGAAGCTCCCCACTTAGCATATTGGGAATTAGAGGGGAGTACTGGAGAACACTAAATTCGGATATGCTAACCCACATTGATTGCAGTAAACCTTTGTTTTAATGGAGTCGCTTCATAGGCTTGTCACCATTCCTCAGAATGGAGTAAGGTTTTATTTGGATTCTGTACCAAACCCACACATATAGATTCGGTAGTCGGAGGTCCCCTGAGTAATACCTCGATATCCGAATGTCCTAAGTCGAACAGTGGTAGAAAAAATCCAAAATGGAAGTCATGGTGGCTTTTCGTATGATATACTGGATAGGAAGTCGAAAACCGGTGTATGCCAAGTGTTCAAAGCTAAGTGCGATTTAGGTTGACCCGGAGAGGAATTGTGCAGAAACGGTAGTTTACTGGCATGGTATGCGATGCTGGTTTTGCATAATCTTAGTGATGCAGTATTCTGCTAGCACAAAAGCACACATCGAGAGCAGCTGACTCCCATTTTTCCCAAACTTGTCTGGATGAGCTACTCATCCTCATTCACGACTTTCGGCTATAGCTCTAAAAGTTCTGTACTCATTATTGAAGCTATGCCGCTCCGAGTACCATGAAGAAGCTAGCCAGCGAGAAATCATTTCGGCAGAGCAAAAGGGCCATTCCCGTCGATCCACTAATTATCCAATCACTATTTTTGGTGTGTATAGTAAGGGCCTGGTCTGGTGAAACACCATCCTATTGAAACGAAACAGCATTAATTGGGCTTGTTTTTTATCAACTATGGAGATATTTGGCATTGCAATAAACGCTTATATATTCAAATAGTTTGAAATAATGTTTAGACACTAGTGACATTACCAACCGACCACTTTATCCGGATGGAAAAATAAGGCCCGATAATTTGTGAGATAGAATGTTTGCTCAACCGGTCGACTTAGCCTTAGCTTGAAAGTAACTTAAATCTGGCAAGAAACCCGATTGTGTAAACCATGTTATTTAAGCGTAAACATGATTTTGACTTAGCAGGTTTGAAAGTGCTTCTCTAAGGTCCAGAAGCAAGCACGGGAAATTTTTTTCAAATTTCCGAGTTTTCCCACTGCACTCGTTGAAACTGACACAGAACTGCAAACCTTTAAATTCAGCGCTGCAGTATGATCTTGCGGTGCATATTGTTGGGGGTTAAACCGTTGAAAAATTTGCCGCATACTCACCTCAATACCTCAATCTGTTCCCCAAGCTCCTCGTTAGAATCAAAAGTTTGACTATAGAGACACGCTGCGAGCGGTTCGAAATTTCGCCACAGGTTCCAAACGGTGCCTTTCCGTTACAGGCCATACCTCATCCATAATTGTTTCGATGCGTAGCCATTTCTAGTCTCGTTACGGATATCTCACTACCTGCAGGTGGTCAGCCAGTGCCAGGTGAAAACAGCTCACATTGAGTGATCGGTGCAATCGCAGATTGTTCATCCGTTTCCGATGTCATCAGATCCACCTGCGATTATGACTACGTCAGCCATACTTTGCCACACACACAAATACGTCGATCGTGTCCGCTGTCTCGCCAACACAGCGGGCATCACCAATCTTCAATACCGTGCAGTCGTAAAGTCCTCAGCTTTTTCGGAGTATTTTGATGCAACAAGCACAGATTAAACAGTTTTAAACTGTTCATTGATGGAGACCGAACAAACTTCCTAAGCAGGCAAGTAACATGATCTCTAGTGGTTTAGGATTGAGCTGCCTTAGGAAATTTTTTGAACATCGATTACAGTCACGTAAGAATAGGGTGACAATACAGTTCCAAAACTTTCATAACTTTTCATGCCTTGCCATAGTTTTTATGTGTATCACAAGTTGTCCACTGTGATGAAGTAGTGTACAACTCGGAAAACCATTGCAACAAAACAGATCAAGTATTTTGCATAGATTTAAGGGTTAATAATGTTTATCACTTCACTATGGTCCGAGTAGCTTGACATGTAATCCAGGCATGGGATGCCCGTTTCAACAAAATGTCCGTGGTTTGGGTAGGCATCGGTCTGACCACAGGATACCATAAGCAGGATGCATTGTGCTCTAAGTTTTCCAGTCACCAGTGGTTGGATAATTAAGCAACATTTAGGGGCTCTGCACAAGTAGCGACCGCATTTGATATGTGGCCTGACTGGGACCAAGACAGAAGAGGGGGTTGTAGCAGATACAGCGTTCAACCGTGTAATATGTAACTGCCATAACAGGTAATAAACAGTAAAAAAATGTATTTCGACCAGATTCATCCAGCGACTGAGTTCCGAGTTTCAATCACAACACTGACCTGGTCAAGTAACTACTCCTCTAGCGCTTCCTGTTTGAGGGTGTGCTGACTGTCCAAGTTCAATTTCAACCTTCAACGCATACCAGACCTTAAAAAAAGTTTAGTGAATAATGCCCTCTACATTTCAAGACGATCTGGACCAACTGCTGAAACGACCGTAATAATGCTTACATAGAAGACAGACTCACCTGACAAATCAGGACTTCATATCCAGCCAAGACCGAATCGAGCCAGCGTTGCTGAATTTGATCATATTACACAAGCAAACTACCACCGCAGATCAAAACTAACGACACAAAATCTGGGAATGTCGCTAGCACTACGACTCTAACACAAAACATTTTGGATTGACATGGGTTCACGAAAGCAACTACATGTGGGATATGGGTTCCTCTAAAGTGGGGTGACAGAATGCACTAACGGCTACTGAGTTTTGGTAAAAATTCAACAAGGTTCCTATGCTCTCACTTAAATTCCAAATGCACTAGAGGATTCTAAATCTAAATTCCAAGATGGTACACCCAATTTCATGTAAGAATGCCGTGATATTGAAATAACTTTTCTTATGCTTACTTAAAGAAGGTGATGTTTCAAATCCGTGAGCAACTACTTCAATGTTACGGACAAACAAAATTTAGCGCTTCTATTTGTGATACTGACTTTCTGCATTCACATCTTAGTTTTACCATAAAAAACCTGGAAGTTAGCGAAATACACTCATTTGCACGTAGTTTTGTTTTGTAGGAGTCACATGGAACTTCAATCTCTCGTTTATGATGTTTATACTTGAACTCGAATTGGTATGCAGATGAGTGTATTTTTAAAATTTCGTGCAATTTAGGTTCAAGTTGACGGAAACTCGAGGAGTGTCTACCTGATGATCCCCAAGAAGAGTGAAACCGGTTGTTGGCTGTCGCAGAACTTTCAGCAACCTTATTAGTAGTATACTACGTCTAAGCCTGGAACTTATTCTGTTTACTAGTGGGATAAACTGCGCACCGAATAACAGGCATAGTAAGTTACAGCTTGCAATATCCGGCGATGGAAAGTTCGGTTAGGCAAAGTGAGCACCCGTGATTAGCTGTACCGTTAAGCCAAACTAGTCAGCATTGGTAAGTACCGGACCGCAGATCGTGATTTCAGGGTAACAATAGAAGAGAATTCGAGGGCGACTCCGTGAAGATCGTCGCTGAGCATCATCGGTTAGTTATATTGTGTTTCAAAACGTGTTTCTGACACTCCAGTGCACTTGGATGAATCCACTCCTCTAAGTTTATTCAGTCTTTATGCATTAATTTTGTACTCGTTAGGAGGTTGCGATCTCTTGTCTTAACTTAGAACAAATGGTAATTGGGATGACGAATATAAGTTTTCAAAGGGTAGCTATCTTCCGTTAAGATACTGAAGGTGCCAGGCAATATCTGGAAATTCAACATGATTCTAAGTCGTTTGAGGTGGGTACATTTACGTCTCACAAAAGGTAGGTTAATGACACTGATGATCAGCAAGTCATGGCTAAAAGACAAACTATTTTTATTCAAGTGCTTTTTTCAACCCAAATTTTCCATGACGAAATCAGTGTAGTTGTTTCAGTTGAGACCAGTGTATTTATCGTTAAGCCAGGGCACCTCCCAATAAAGTTTACCATCATTTTAGTAGGTCAATTTATGTAGCTAATTGGACAACTTACTTTCTAAATTATCCTCAAACATCGAACGTTGATCTTCGGAGAACGGAGTTCTCACGTCGTCCAAGGTGGTATACGACTCTAAAGTGCAAATAAAAGAGCAGGATTTTCAGAACGTTCTATGGATAAATGAGTAGGATTTTGCTCTCCATAGACGGTAGCCCGTTGCTTACATTTGTTTGGGTTCTTAACTTTTTAGTCAGGTGGAGTTTTGCAAAACAATATTAACCAAAGATAGGCAAGAACACCAAATCATCCCCACACCGACGCATTAGGTAGATCCCATGCACCTTGACTGATTAAGTGAGTCGCTCGAAAATGTCTTCTTGCGTCTTAAGCGTGCGTACATAACCTACAGACAAGAAGTGGTAGCCGACTTCCTCTGTCAATGTGAAAACGCTCACTTCCAAAGTGAACCTGTTACCTGTTACCTGTTACAACCCGGCCATCAATCTCGTACCAAGTGGCTCACATTTCTCAACGTTGGATTCGGGTTTCCTTCCAAAATGAATATGATGTCACTAGAACTTTCTAAACACGAGTTAGCTATATTTCGAGTGAATTGTAACAAAATGACCGCCCGCTATCGTAGTTTGGTTCTCGAAACAGCCCTCTAGCCTTTAGTTTGAACTTTGCAGATCAACCTCATAAACTGAAAGCAGTACAAATACACTTACATCCGGCCTGAAGTTATACTGTATACGATAGCCGAGTAACATTGACTTTAGACAAGAAATTAGATCTATAGTAATCTTAACTGAGCACTGTTAGAACTACCCAACGTATGGCCTACATTTATGGCTTCATATATTTGAATGACGGACAGCTAACCTCTCCCTTTTGTCCATATGAATTCTCAGCCACTGAACTTCGTAACCGAGCTGCAAAGACAGGAGGGTTCTTCTCAAGAATTCCAGGATAAATGCATCACCAGACTACCAACAATTTAATCTAATACCGTGCCTGAGTCGGTATTACATGTAGCGCAAGGCAACACTGTTTCTGATTTTTCCTCTAATGGTTTCAGGCCATCAATTTCGTACGTCAATTAATTGCTAGGGTCAAGCTAAATGTCCCGGATCGTATGGTAAAAGCTTAATTTTGAGCAGACAACTAGTCTTCAGAGAGAATCCGTATACTTTAAAGCGTACAGCTACAGCCTTTGATAGAAGCAACAGGGAACATGGCATGTTAGTGCCAGACAAACAAGGGTAGTTAGCTACAACACTCACTAAATCGTATTGACGGAATGGGCCCGATTTAGCTGACCGATGACAGTTACGAGAGGATGAGAATAGGGGTACATTGGAGAAACCTTTTGGATAGCCAAGGGGTGACGAAAGACGGGGATGGCATTACAAACTGTGTGCGTCATACTTAGCAAGTGTTAGGTCACGATAACGTCTGAAATTCCTATCATTAACTGGGATAGCCAGGAGCCACGCTTGAACAACAAATGTTTTTCACACGAATAAGTCAATATGCCAAAGGACAACAGTAGATGGCTGCCACATATCTCTGCGCGGAAGCCAGGGGCACCAGGCCTGTTGCAAATACCTTCAGCAGCAGCCGGTGATTGATTGCAATCGATATTCAGATGTCTCAATGCCAGGAACTTTTGTCCTGGAGATTTTTGTCAATGCCTACCCCACCCCTTCGATAAAAAAACTATCATATTTCACAACAGACAGTTCATTATTTGATCCTGGAGACTCTTCCGGTCTGTGTGAGAGTTCGACCAGAGTCTGATCCAAACAGGACGGCAACAGACCTTTGGAAACTCAAAAGAAATGACTTTTGGAAGTCTCATAAACTTCATTTTTCTCGAAAACGAATTTGTCAATGACTGACATTGTCCACATCCTCTGCCCATTAGGCGGGCGCATGCGTACCAACTGCTACTTCGTGAGATCTAGAGATCACATGCGTTCATTCCATATCTAAGAATGTTTGATTACTAGTCACCGCCAACTTCGTTCGCTTTTTCGCTTCCCATATGCTTACGGTAAAACCTCTCCACTTCTTCTCCACGCAAACCGGATTATTACAGGAAACTGAATGGGAGAACGTCCAACTTGGCTTGTCCAGCTTTGCCGTATTCAATGAAATGTGGATTCCTTCATCAGACTGTGGTCAGATGATCAGTCAGAACGACCCTGAGTCATTTAGGCATTGAAGCCCGTGTGACTGAACCTTCCGGGAACCGACCGTGGCTTCCCCCCACAAACTGCAGTCCGTTCGTGTAAATCTGTTTCGAACTCATTATGCAAATTGTCTAAGTAAGGGGTTTCGCCATTTGAAATTTGATTTCACAGTTCTCAATGAATGCCTTCATGCTTTGAAATGTTGACCTATCGTGGACTCATCAAAAAGTGCTCACTCACCATAGAGAGTTGTTGATGTTTCCTTGGCGCAGGAAGTCTGATGATCTTCTGAAGGTTCTTCCGCTGTATGATATGACGAAGAAGTGCTACTGTCCTGCTTCTTGGATGTCGCCATAGACACTGGAACGTACGTAAAATAGAGGCAGTCAGTCATAACCGATTTGTTGGCGTTTTCTGACATCGAGAGCAAAACATCAGCTTTCATCGAAGAGTAATTCCGTCAATGCCACCGAACAAGATCTCTCAATTTCGTATCCATTGAATTAAACACAAGAAGCGAAAACCGAAAGAATTTATTTCACAGATTCTGTCGGTTTCGGACAAGTGGATCCACTACTGGACTTATCCAGATGGATTTCTGAAAGGTTAACCTTGTTACTTTCAGTTCTTGTGGCGTATATTTTCGAAAGCTAATAAGCTCATGACCAAGAACACGAAAATGAATAGCCAACATAGCACACACACCGAGACGGAGCGGTATGGCTCAAAGGGTGTTCAATAAGAACTCAAAAATATACCAAAAAGCGTCACCGACGGAAAGGAAAAAAAGACTCCATATAGGGATGCCCATGTATCAGTGTTGGGATCCAGACCTGCGGAATGATAATCCTGCTCTTGTAATTCATAGCACTGGAGACAAATTTACGTTTTTGTTGACCGGATTTACACAGGTAAACAGGCAGAAAAAATCGGTTGAACGGCCAAACCTGCAAAGAAGTTTGACGAAAGATGAGATCGTTGAGGTGGGTCCATCTGTGATGCGTCGATCTATAGACCGTTTTAATGTAGCTGGCTATCCTTCTCCAAAGGAGACAGTATTAAAACTGATAACAGTACAGTACAGAGTTAGTCTGAAAAGTATAGTTTTCGAGACAGAAACCTGAACCCCGAAAAAGACGCTCCCGAGAGTGCTTACTCCTCACAACGAGAATGCATTTGTAAGAATGATAACAGAATTGTTTTCTGGTGGAAAAAAACAAGGTTAGATTAAGATGATTTCGTTGGCTCAACGTTTTTCTCAAATCTACCATATACCACATATTGAAAACCTGAGAACTTCATATACAGTCATACCTTATTTGGTTCACCCCAGGTCTGCGATTTTCCGTAGAAGCCTTGCCTTAAAAGGTCACAGCGTACATATGTCGTGGTTTTGCGTATATATCCATTTTAGTAGTAAAAAGCCCTGCAGTTCATTATTGTCACCAGACCCTCGTACACAACACGCACAAGCGTTGGATAAATGGTTACTGAATTTAAGCCATTTCAACTCTTAAATTTTGCATCATTTCACAAAGCTATACGAACTTATGGAACACATCAGTCCAAATAAATGTTGTCCATCGACGGTTGCGCTTACTAACCAGGCACTGGATTTGCACATTGTGACTTCTGTCAAAAAGGGTCTGCGCTGTCTACCGTTAAATGAGCGAAACACGTAGTAAGAGAGTGGTGAAACAGTCCCACTGAAACGTAATATTGTTCTGCATGTGAAAGATACTACTCCTCACACAACTAAAACTGAAGACTTAGTTTTCTACTTCTGTGTTGGTGCTAGAATCGTTATTTGTTATTCGTCACATTTTGCCCCAACTAGCTTCACAAGTCTGATTTTGTCGCGGCTCGTTCACCCAGCGCATACACTCTGAGTCCAAAACTTTTACTCCTTCCTTCCTGATTTGGCAAGCATAATTTGCCAGGTATGTATGTCTTTCACTTTGTACATGCTTCCGATCTTATCCCCCCTCCTACTTAAACGGTCTGTTTCACACGCAACTTTGTGCAGAATGGCATGCAATAGCGATTCCATCAGTCTGACACACCTGCTAATGCCTTCCTTCTCAGTAAAACATTGATATTCTATAGTGAGTAATCCTCTGACCATAAAAACTCTGAAACGAACTTACTAGGCAAATGGCATTAGCAATTCTGCGTTTTCTAATATTCCCATGGTATTCGTTCTTCCCTAGAACTAATTCCTGGAAAAGGCGAAATGCTCCCATATGAAGTCACTTATGACTGCGCTCTTTAGTCGAGTGACCTAGTCAACTGGTTTACAGAAAAACTTGAAAACCGGTGTTAAGAGATCCAAAATTAACGACTTATTAGCATATTAATGGTAAAATTTGGCTTCGTTATGCCCATACGCGGATGAAACAGGTTACGCTAACGGCTGATCCGGTGGCATACTTAGTGTCAGCACGTCTCCGTTGAAAGTTTGAGGTGGATACGTATCCTAGTAACCGGTCAGACACACGCCACAGTGCTGTTACGTGCTCCCAAAAGGATACACTGAACCCTTTGGGTGGCTGATAGGGCTAATCAACTTGTTTCAAAATTTCCATACAATTATCGTATCAGGTACTCTCCCCTTGCAGACGTTTTGAACCGCGCTATACACACCAATCGGTTTGCAGTCATACGATTCACCTCGACCATCGTTACAGTGTGCATCCAGCCGTCAGGGTGATGACGAACGGCAAAATTTGAACAAATGCACAGCCTCAAAGAATATGGCTATTCTTCTTATCCCTCTAAATATGTAGAACGTAACGGACATGTGCATTTTTCTATCCTGTACAATCATGTATTAGCTAGAAAAGTCGGACTTTCAGCTTCCACGTTAGTCCATAAAGATCCCAAAAATTGAGGTAAGTTCAACGGCATGATCCGATACCAAACTGTGCTTAAATGCAAAGTGCTTCAAAAGACTGGGTGCTCAGTTTGCATCACCAGGCGTTACGTCTTTCCCATTGTGTTTATCCTCCTCCTGTCTATAGAGGGAAACACTCATTTCTCCGTAGGAATCCCTTCTGACCTTTTTTATACCTAAGCCTGTAAGATGGGCAGGGTTGTTTTCCTGGGCTGAGGCTCATTTTATTGAACTAAAGGCCAATCTGTTCTATCCCCTGAAGAGGTCAGGTGTTGTCAGTTCCGACGCATTCTGAACATTTTTTTCCATCTCTCAATGACTTTTCCGACCGATTTCTTCACGTGACACAAATTCAGGTTTTCAGAAGGCTCTCGGTAGCGCACAGGAATGGACTGAATTCTAGGCTTGTCAAGTTGCTGCGACGTCTAGCCAGGGAACAAAAGTACTCATCTCTTTTTGTAAGCATTTTCCTATCTACATTCAATAACCAACTTCGGACTACAGAGTTTGTCATCCAAACACAGTGAATACTGGTGTGCACAGATATAATATGTGAAGTCATTTCGGTCGTAGTTGCCTAGTTCCCTTGAGATCGTTTTGCGTCACAGAGAGTGAAACTTGGTTGTCGGTCTGTTCGCCGAGCTTGGCAGTTGGATGGCAAACGTTTCTTCACCAATCGAGTGGTTTCCAATGGGTTTCTTTGCGACATCCACATAGCTGGTTAGGCAACATTAGAGGTCTGACCAACACAGTTCCTTGGCCCTCTAGGCTGGGGTTTGGGACGTGTGTCGACTTGTTCTATAAACATGGTAATGCACTTGCATTTTCCGCCAAAAAACGCCGTCTTACGGCCAGGCTTTTGAGCCAAACGCTTTGGTCCAGGACCGTAATCATCTTACTCTCCAGGTGTTGCCACCCTGACGACATCCCAACCCACGTGCAACGATAGCACTTACGACTAACAGTACTCTCATGCCACATCGTGGTGTCAACAGCTTGGTCACTTTACTTGCTGCATACAGCAAGGTTGGTAAGCGAAAAACATGCTACGGTCGAAGCCTTTCTTCTTACACCTTCACATTTTCCCTCTTCTGCCCTACCACACCCTAATTTGAGTACTTTCTCTACAGGTCCTAGCCCTAGAACTACCAAATTTGTTCTCTGCAAATGGCGCTCAGCTACAGCTTCTATGTCCAACTTTAATAATCTAAACAATTTTAGGTCTGTATTCAAACCCCTAACCAAGACCTACATAGCTGCTTCCAGTGTTTGCACTCTGAAGCAAACAGAAATACAAGCGGCTGTTGCTTGTACGGTAGATCCTGAAATCGTTAATGTATGCTGTCTGTCTGAAACAAGGATACATAATGCAAGTAGTGTAGTCGAACGGATTTCTCCCTCGATCTCTTCCAGGTTCCGGCTGCGCACCTCTGGTGATGTAGGCTGCTGCAGCTGGATATACTGGTGTTTTGTACAGTATTGAGCAACCGAGCTGAAGCGTCTCTACTTGATTGGATATCCGCTGACAGTCGCTTCTGTGCGGTACGTTTGGCAACGTCTGAGAGAATTTTGAGAAAGTGAGGTCAGTCGCAAAATGTTTATTGTGTCTGTTTACGCCCCAGTTGATTATCGCTCTGGATTTACCAAAGGCAGTTTCTATGACTTTCTTAGTGCTCTTTTACAACGGGCTAAAAGCTCAGACGTCGTCGAAGTTGCCAGTGACATGAGCGCCAAAGTAGGTAGACTTAGCGCCGCTGAAGCTCAGTTGAGCGGCCATTTTGGTTTGGATTTGAGACGTACGGACAACAGCGTTCACCTGCTTCAGATGTGTGCTGATCACAAACTGTTCCTTCGTACTACCAATGTCGGAAACAGCGGAATTCGCTTAAAAACGTGCTGCCACCAACGAATCAGCCGTGAATCCAAACAGACCACATCGGCGTCAGTTACCGGCGCCGAGGGTTAATTACTGCCTGTCTGTAATACCACTGTGGACTCTGATCATCTACTTGTGTGCTGCTGCTTTCACTGCGCCTCTCAAGTCTAGCTTAGTCACTGTGAAGCTATTGAACTCCGGAATCAAAATAAACTCTCAGAATCGGCTCCTCAAACGCCTGCCAGACGTTTCAATATCGAATAACAACGGCAACTGCGAAAAGTTATCCAAAGCACTATTCAAGGCCGGGACTTCTGTTTACGGTACAACCCAGCCAATCTTAAGCAAACATTGGATCTCTGACAGGGCCATGGCTTTGCTTGAGGCCCGGTGGTGGATCTCTCCTGGCCGAAAGCACAACTCAACTCAACGCATCATCCGACACCAGGTAAAACTCATTCGTTCGACTGGTCTTCGCAAGCCTCTTGTCAGCGAAACTAACAGAAGGACACCAGATACCTGATTTCCATAAAAACAGAATGTTTTGAGCGCTGGCACAATACCTTGGAAAACAATTCAGTTGGCCACCTG